GCCCATGAGCCATGAGCGTTTGGTTAGTCCTATTTTTAAAAGCCTGCTTGTAGGCACGTGAAGCCACCTTGCGGCTCTCGAGCCGAGCTTTTGGAAACAAAACACATCCCGCCCCCCTCTTGATAAACTGACCATTAGCTCTCCAGGTGGATAAATTCTGAGACGGTAGAATGACTCGCCGTAAATGTTTTCTACGCAGCGTAACTGCAAGTCCTAATTCTCGATTTCTTCTGGATAGGGAGCCTGCGCTATTGAAAATATAAGTTCGAGATTGTTGAAGCCCTCCTGAATGGATATCCGCGGAGCTGTTTTCAGGTTGGCAAACGAGGCCAAAACTGTGAGAATGGTGCCCGCACAGGATATTGCATATCATGGATGGTTTCTCCAGATAAACATGGCGGCCAATGCACATGTGTGAAACGAACGAATGAGTAGCAAAGCAAGGATGCAAGCCAGAAAGCCAGCCAGCCAGCCAGCTTCCAGCCAGCCAGCAAGCCAGCAAGCAAGCCAACAAGCCAGCAAGCAAGCAAGCAAGCAACCAAGCAATCCAGCCAGCAAGGAGGCAAGCAAGCAAACAAGCCAGCTTTTAAAGCGATCCATCAAGCAAACCCACAATCGCAAACAAAACGCACAAACACATACGCAAAGACACATGCCTTGTTCCAAAACACACACCCCATTTGAATGAGCAGCTTTGATATAAAACTGCTGTAGAATCGTAAACGCCACGCGCTTGGGCGTTTCTCTCTGCACATTCTGGTCTCCGGAACTCTTAGCAATCAGTCGCAAACACTTCGAATGATCGAACTTGGGTGCGCGGAGGAGTGCCATCCTGCGCAAGTTCGGCCGGGGTGGCCTACATCAGCCTGGAGGCAGGCATGGCGTAAAGTGGACTGCGCAGCCAATCTATATGCGTGCAAGGCACTGGACTTGCAAGGAACCGTGGGCACATCCAATTCCCCAAAGGGCCCAACCAATTTGGTGTCTGTTCGACCCTCACATATTAGTTGTCATACTCAAAGCAGCCAAACCGACTGTGTAAAGCTAACAACTTTTTCGACACGTAAAGCGGTCAAGTCTGGGAAAGGCCTTGAAGAAAGGTCGGAAGTTAGACGCTATAGACGTGCACAAACCAACACAAATGGTTCGGGTGTCGCCTGAAATGGGGGACCGGCATCGGCAGGTTTGCTCCTATGGTTTCCATTTGAACATCATTCAACGGAGGCTCCATGTGTTATATTTTGTGTCCCGTCGAATCGTCGGAAACTGTGACAACTGCTCGGTCGATAGTTCGCGCATGTCGGCGTGGCCGGAATTGGGTTCAGCGCGTCTCTTACTGTGCCCCATCCTTCTGCGAGCATCTCATTGTGACTATCCCACCACCTCAACCCTTATGGACCTATGGAGCCTCCCTCAGGCTCTGCGTGAACATTCCCTCTGCCATGTGTTGCCGCGTGAGAAAGCACTGACCCGGAAAATCAACCCCCCAATGGATCAAGTGACGCGTTCTGATCAACCAACCACGCAGTTGGTCTTGTTTGTTCCGTTTGATGTGTCTAGACAACAGCTTGGGATCTGACTAACTCTTTATTATCTTTGCGGCACTGGTCGTTTTTTTGGCCCTCTCACGCGCGCAAAGGCTCTATCATGCCCAAAATATTTGTATGTTGTACACAATCTGTTGGGGCTTGTCGGCTTCTGAATGACTCTTGAACGAAGAGGTCAAGGGTCAGCTGTGAGGCTTCCTTGGTGCGTCCTTGGCCATGCACGAGCTTCAAAGTTCTGTGAAATCGCTGCTCTCGCTGGCCGGCCAAAGGCGAGCACAAGAGCTCCAGGGATCCTTACATGAAAAACACCTGAACATTGCAACTTGTAAATGCTGGCATCTTTTATTTTGGCGGAAACAGCAACATGTTTCAAATGGTGGCAAAATGGAGATCTTTTCAGGAGCCCTGAGCTCCTTGACGTGTCGTTTTAGCGCTTTTTGCGTTTGCGGGAAACGGGCACCCGATCGAAACATGAGCACACTGAGATGGGGAAGTGCGAGCTAGAGTCCAAGCAGCAGCTTTTGACACCAAAAACGCTTGACACTTTAGGCAAATAGACCCTTGGGGACCCGAATGAACCGGGTCTAACAAAATGGGACCTGACAAAGCTCATGGGCCGAGCTTGGAGCCTCTCAACAGGGTAAGCTCAATAGTCTACTGAGTCTACTGCATCATCTCACATATCTAATATTCTAAATGTTGGACCAGAACCCCTTGCAGTATCTGGATGCCAATGGTGCAGCCTGCATCCACGATGCAGTCCTTTGGAAGCCTGTGCATATCCTTTGGCTCAAGGAAGAGGCCAGAGATGAGGCGCTCTTCTGGCATGGGTATGTCACGGTTTGTACGACAGAATGAATGTACAGTACGCAAATACACCAACGAACAAACAAACAAACAAATAAACAAGGAAGGAAGTACAGTACAAATGCATGTGCAGTAAATGAATGTACAGGACAAACCAAGGAACAAAACACCTTGAGTTTCTTTGGAGACGCGTGGTCGCATGATCATTCAGAAGGGAATCTGCCGCTAGGCCAAGAGCAGTAAGTTCACAGCGAAATCGCTGCTTCGACTGTACCAGGTGCATCAACCCAACGAGCCTGCTGGAGTGACACATCTGTTGGCAAAGGCAACTTTGGGCCGAATGCGCTGCCAAGGGCTGGACCTTGATTCAACAACATAAACCAGATTCACTGTCACTTGTACACTTCTATGGTTGTCTGGTTCACCTGGCACAGGAGTCATAATCAAAACCCGGCATCAAAATGGTCTACCCAGAACCAAGTAAAAAGATAACAAGGCGGCCGCAACTATTTATGGTTGAGATTGTCCCTTGCTAACCTTCATCTACTCGGATTTTTTTCGTGGCTATGAAAAGCCAGCCTCAGCCAAATAGTGCGAGCGCCGGGCAGACTCAGTGCGAGAGCACGCCGAAAACCACGCCTTGCGCTTGGCCCAGGGCCATCCATGCAGCGAATTGGGTCGATGCCGAGACCCGATCGATCCGAGGCAAGGCAAAAAGCCTGGTACCCTCGGACATAGCCACGCTGCAAGCCCTTGCACTGCCTCAAAGCCACCATCATGCGGGCTGCTCAAACAAACACCCCCCTGTCTTATGTGTATGTAATATATATATATAATGTATATATATATATATATATATATATGGGTATGTGTTTTTTTGACGTGGCCGTGCCGGGAGGTTGGTATAAGGGGTATGAATCGCAGGTATGGTTCGGGGTATGGCTCGGGGGTATGATTCGGGGTATGGCTCGCGCGCCTCTGAACTCTTGCTTTGTGGCTTTGGACGCTGCGAAGCTCCCGTCCTCTGGCAACTAGAATTTAGACCGCTTAGTTGCTACAAGCCAGCCTGGGGCGCTTGTGAGTGGCCTGAACTAGACAGCTGCCAGTCTGCGTGAGGCGAACGTCATGGCCACCTCCACTTGGAGTTCAAGCGACCTGCGTGCTCACAGACCCAAGCAAGCGTTGCTTATCTGGAAGCGCCGCTGCCCAGTCAGGCCCGCCACCCGCACCAGTCACGAACCAGCGTAAGGGCAAGACAGCGTGACATCCTCAAACGGCAGCCGCGCAGAGGCTAGTGGGCCTCTCATAGGTGGCGTACCGTGTCGCGCTTGATACATCGCAGTAAGCCTTCCGAACCCACCTTCTGGCGAACTTCTGCGAAAAGAGCCGCGAGCTGGTTCCTGCAATGCTTCTCTTTGAGTTTTGTGTCTTCTGAAAATTTGGGCGGCATAGCTTCGCCAGTACTGCCCAGAGCGCAAGAGGCTCTTGGCTGCAAATGGCAGCAGAAGGGTATGAATCGGGGTATGAATCGGGTATGAATCGGGGGTATGAATCGGGGGACAGATCTTTTTGGACCAGGAAGACACCAAGAGCACCCCAGGAGCACAAAGACAGCTTGGCTTGTGTTTCACCGCGACAGTGGCCCAGGACAGACAGCTGTTTCCACCGCGTCGGACAGACTGCAGGAAGCAAGCTCCAAGTTTCAAGCTCAGCAGCGGCACCCCCCGCCACAGCGCCCTGCAAGTCCCAGCGTCTTGCGTCAAGCTGCACCCCCCCGCCACAGCACCACGGATGCTACAGACAACTCTAGTCACCACGGATGCTACAGACAACTCTAGTACCAGGACATCCGCTGGATTGCTCTATAACTCCATCCGTTGGCACTTTCCATTGAAAATAGCAAGCCGAGACCGAGGTGGGTAACCGAGTGTCAAGGAACATCAAGCCAAAATGGCCCCCCACAAGTAAACAATGAGTGTGTGAGTGGACATGTCAACTGTACTTGGCCCCATGACATCAGAGCCCAACCATGCAAGCATCGCAGACTCAAGAATAGACCACAGGTGAACCAGGTATTACCTCGGAGTCCTACCCCCTGGCATCGGTCCACATGTCAAGCTCTCTAACACTGTTTCTTGACAAGACCCCCTTCTTCACTTGAAGTTAAACCCCCTATAGCTTCCAGCTATCCATGGATCACACGCAAATGCCACAGTTCTTGCAAGTTCTTTTTTTTGTGTTTTTAAGGGGTATGACTCGGGGTATGGCTCGGGGGTATGGTTCGGGGTATGATTCGGGGGTATGGCTCGCCCAAGCCCCACCTCCCACGAAGACTAAAGAACTGACACGGTAAAAAAAACACAGACCCATATATATATATATACAATATGGATCGTGACACGAGCACCATAACTTCAGCGGAGCTCATAAGTCATATCATGCTTGGATCAAGGATCCTGGAGGCTTGCCCGCAATAAACTCATGGGGCATTTTCGGGGTGTTGATTCCCCATTGTTTTCAACCATCGTTCTTTTCAAAAACCGGCTGTTTCCCCTGGGTTTCTGATGGTTTCCTGAAAAGAAGGATCCCTGGAAAGAATGGACATGGAAGGTACCCCTAGAGATATTTATTGGGTGACTTTGACAAGTTCATTCCATGCGATGTCGACTTGCAGCGCGCTGAAGAAAAGCGTGACCATTTTGACAAGCTTCTGCGTCGCATGTTCAGCACCTCCTGGCATTTAGGTTTAGGGTTGGTTTACTGGGTATGGGGCTAGTTTAGGATTGGTTTAGGGTTGGTTATGGCTTGTTTACAGTGAGGGGAATGACAACTGCGAAAAGATCTCGGACCTGGCCAGTCCGAAGCACACAAACCTACATACAGCATGAGATTCCGAGCCATGGATGGTATCACCTAAAAAAACAGGCAAAGACAAGACGAAGCAAACTCAGAAGAGCTTTCACGGAATGCATGCTGCAGCCTCTTGCCAACATGTAATTCCTCATTGCCATGACAAAAGGACAAGTCAACTTCGAATGAATCAAGTAGCAAACAAGTCGCCTCGATTCGGACAACCCCCATTATACTGACTCGCGGAAGCCAGTCAACTGATGTGGCTGTACGGCCAAACACTGGAGATGTGTTTGTCCAATATAAGCTAACCTAGGCTGGAATTAGGACCCCAGCAAATATAATTGTTTGCCTGGTTAGTGGAAAGCAAAGGGGACCCCCCCCAAAAAAAAAGGCAAAAAACAAAAAAGGGGGGAGCGAATTCCCCTAAGGTGACTGCTTTGCGGACTTCCCCCCGCTGGTTTCAAGATGCGTCGCCCATTTGAGGCAAGTCTCGGGGCAGCCCTTATGGCCATCGGTGGGTGCCATGTGCCACTGGTCAAATGCTCATGGAATCCCCCCGACCTTCAAGGGGAGGGGGGTGGGGGGGGTCAGGGGGGTAAAGGGTCCCACAATTCCATCGAAAATGCCACTCAAGGGAAAATGGAACCCATGGAGATCTCCAGGGGTCACCCCTCCCCCAATTCCATTTTGAAGGGGGTGGGGATCTCATGGAATATCCATGACTTACTGTGTGGTGTGCAGCGTTTGGACGAGTGTATTCAAGTCTTGTTCGGTGGGTCAAGTCACCACACAGGGAATCACAGGATACTCTCTCAATCTGTCTCATCATCCCAACCGAAAAAATACCAGCTCTCTGTCCACAACAACAACCGGGAGAGGTGGAAGGCAGTTTGCTGAACAGGCCCGCAGCCACTAGCTGTCAAGTTGACAAGTGCAGGTAGATGGCGCAATTTCCAAGAGACTTTTTGGGCGTACTGTTTACTTTCCATGAAGGGAACTGTGCTATCTACTTTCCCTCTGTACCATGGAGGCAGTTGGATTGGTGGACACCACCCTTTGCGCCCCCGCGCCCGCACCTTGACTCAGGACGCCAAAGAGACAGTAACGTCCGTATGCTTCACCTCGTAACTCAAACGCTCATGAGTGTGGCCTCCCCACAAACTGGGGCCGTTCCAGCTTGGTCAAATTTCGACTTTGAACGAAGGAATCGTATCCATTCTGCAATAAATTTAATATGTGGGGGGTTGATCAAAAGGTCCTTTATACATGGAATGACCATTGGGGAAAACCACCAAAAGATTATACTTCCCACTAAAGGGGAACGTTACCCTTGTGGTGGTGGGTCCAACATGAAGATCATGAATATCCAAAATAGGTTGCCCTGGCAAATGGGACCAAGGACTAAAGCCTGAGGGTTTCTGGTGGTGACTCATTTGGATTGATAGCGGTCCATACCCATGTGACAGATCCGCAGTCTCAGTGCCAAGGCCAGTGAAAGGGCAAAGATCTGCCTGTCCATTTTGGAGGGAACCTTTTTGGGGTGCTTTAACCGGGAAACGAAAAGGACATCCACAGATTTTGTGCGGTACCCCTGTCTCAAGGCCAAGATCCTCAACGTTGACCTCCACTTGGGAAAAGGACAGTCAGCAATCAGCAACTGGTGGTACTCTTTGGCAGAATTTGTGAAAGGGCAATGGGCTGTGGTGACGAATAGTTTCAGAGACATGTGTTTGGCGCATTCCTCCTCACGCGGCATGTTGTGGTAACGCTGCACTGGCTTTGCAAGAGGCTATCGCAATTACTAAGCCACCCCTCAGGCAGCGCTTGGAAGACTTCATCAAAACACTAATGCAAGCGCCTAAAGATATGGATTTCATGAGAAGGAAGGTTTTCCGGATCAAGATGGAAGCTCCCAAGACAATGTAAAATAAAGAAATAAATAAAACATGTCCTCAAGATGTCCGAATCAGGCTCGCGGATGCCATGTCAAAAACCCTGAATGCAGCGGGCTTCTTTGAGCGTCTTTCCTTCCTGGAACCGGAAAGAATGGAATCCTCTCGCTTCACCCCAGAATCGGTGAGCTCTTCATAAAGTGTGCAGTTTATCTTTGTCCATTTCTGGTGTGCCAGGGTCAAAACTTTTTCTGTGGCTCATCTGGGTTTTCTGCGGGTTCCCTCAATAGGAAGCTTCATATCAGCTTAGCTAGCATCTGTCCAATCACAGAAGTGCACAGGAGGGTCTTGGAAATCATAGGCCTCCTCACTTCTATTGTTGGAAGGAGGCTAAGAGGCGGTAAGAGCTAGGTCCTCCAGTAGAGAGGCCAGAAAATCAGGGTACCAACTTTTTTCTGCCGTCTATTTTAGTAGGGGAACCGAATCTCCCAACAAAAAAAGTTGGTGAGAGAAGGCCACCTCGCTGATCGACCCAGAAAAAATGTCTTCCCATGGCACACGACTTGAGCGAGCGCCCGGCCACCACCGCGAGATACCCAGACACCGCCTCGGGCACGGGCACCATGTTCCTCGGCCGGCGCAAAAGCAGCGAGGAGGTGGATTACCTATTCTTGGTTGACGTTGGAGGGGAGCGTCTATGCTCCGAGGGCTTGCAACCAAAGCACACTCAAGTATGAACCCATTTGTTGGCTGACGTTGGAAGGGGAGCAAACAAAGTTAAATGTTAGCAGTTAAGTGGGGATTTCAACCACTAAACCACAATGAGCACCAAATAGACTTAAACCCAGTTCCCTTTTTGGGGTACATGACCCACCCCTGGGTTTAAGTCTATTTGCAGGTCGTCAAAAAGTGGAACCCTGGGATTACCCATTCTTGGTTGACGTTGGATGGGGAGCAGTTAAGTGGTTGGATTTCAACCAAACCGCAATGAGCACAAATGTAGAGAATGCTTCCCAAACACCATGTATTACTGTATTTTAGATTCGCAACATGCTAGCTAAGGACAGTAGCCTTTTCAGCATGAACTATAAGCATTGGAATGTGAAGCCACAACTACAGGATTCCTCCTAGAGGTTCATATGTGAACGTAAACATTTGCCCCTTGCTCCAGGGGAGACGACGATCCCCGAAACATATAGCTAGGGAACGAAGGAACGCAAAACAGATAGAACCTTTAGGAACGGGAAAAAGTGTTTTTTTGCACCAAGTGACTGAAACCGCAATGCACAAACGAACAGCACTGGACACAAATAACCAGCATCGTCATGTAGGATGAAGTGGGGCTGCACAAGCACGCAGCAAAATGTCAAGTTCAGTGTTGCTCCTTCCGTGCATACATCAGGGCGGCATGAACTCTTGCGCTTTGAAACCAGCGATGGACCAGCCGACCAGCCGGCCCATTGACACGACCGACCGTTGACGAGTTGACTCACCCTTTGGCTTGAAGCTGTCCATAAGACATGCGTAACTCTCTTCGGCGAGCGTTTGGAGGAACCCATCGAATAACAGATCAAGGCCTGATCAGTTGCACCGAGTGCACAAAGAACTTGGACAACTAGACAACTCTAACTGCACCCTCCCCGTTCTTCTTGAGGATCCGTGCTTTCTGCAGATCTTTCTTTTCCAAACATGGCCCCGAAGCATATCAAAGCCCTAGAGGCAAAGTACAAAGCCGACTTCATGTCTTGACAAAACCTGTGGGGCGAGAGTCAAGCCATAGCAAGGTGTACTTGAACCACTGGACAACTTTCTGGCCACTCCAGCAACACGCGAGCATTTATGTCCAAAGATGTTCCTGGCACCTGCAAGGACGTACCCTGAGGAAAACGGACCGATGCTGTGGATGGACGAAATCCGAGATCGCACCACTTTGAAACCATGAGATACCATTGTTTGTTGGTATTTACAGGGGAATCAACATTCTAGGGCTTCTTAGCTGGTGCGGGATTTCGTCCATCCACAGTGGCCACATGGAATGTTCAAGCAGTGAAAGCAGCCTGTTTGTTTCACACAGACACGTGCCACTTGCGAAAAACACAGCCAATCCATCGGTCTGATCGGTCTGGGAATGCCCGACGAATTGGCATGGATTGAACACACAAACGCTGAGCGCGTGTCCTCAGGCTTTGAAGAGTACTGCCAAAGTTCAGGTTGGCCTGGGCTGCAAAGATGGGAGTACCTCCAGCATGTTCACAGAGTTATTGTTGTGTGATAGAAAATAAACATATATATATATATATATCAATAATACACATATATATATATGCATAACAATTATATTTCTCGAACGATCATGGCATGCCATCCTTGTACTTTCTCCTATGCCATGTTGGTGTGGTCAGAACGAGCGTTGTGAGCACAGAAAACAGGCTAATATAGTTTCGCAGTGCGCTGAGCGAGTTCTGGGCTGTATTCCTAAGGATCTGTCCGAAGGCCATGGATTGCAGCAAGTTTCCATGATAGAAAGCACGTTCATCAAGGCGTAATTTGAGAGCTTAAAGCCTTTTAAGTTTGGGAGCTGTTTGGGACCAAGATTTGTTTGGAAGAGTCCGGCGTTAGTTCTTGGTTCTTGGTGCATTCCAACCTTTTGATGCATTCCACAACACGGCACAAAACATGGATAAAAAGTTGGACAACCCAAACATGCACATTACGTACAGGTGTCAATTGCTTGATGTGAGGGTTCTATTGGATGCCACAAAAGGGATTTCCACCACGGGTCCCTTTGAACTGACCCGCTCCTGGATGACATTGCATTTAGGGTGACTAAATCCCACGTGGGGATTTATATGCGAGTTCGAGCACCTTGGCGAAACTTCTCGGTGATGCTTCATATTGCAGCCACTGGGCCGAAACCATGACACTGCGAATGCATGAATCACGAAAGCTGCTATTGATGCTTTTGAAAGCTTGTCAGGCTGGAGAAAACATCCAAGTTGCTCCCGAGAAGTACTAGGCATCCAAATAATTTTAAGAAGCGCCTGCGAGTCGTTTGTCATTCATAGGATCACTGGAAGCTGACACAACTTGAGTGGATGACTCCGGCTTATGCCGGAGTTGTTGAAATCACGGTGCTTGCCCTTGGCATCGTTGTAAAGCCTTCAACGTAAGACCCAACCTGCGCCTTCAACGTCGAGCGCAAGTCATTGGCAATTGAAGGTCTCGGCCTTTCCCGAGGCAACGACAAAACCAGCCTCGAGCAGCAAATGAGCATGTCAAGCAACATGAGTGAGCACATGGCTTCATTGGACATGAAGCAGGGCGTCCTACCGAGTGAAGCACAAAGGAAATCTTGCCACATGCGAAATGATATCTTTGTTTTTAATCAGGACATCATCCGTGGACAAAATGCTACTTGTTGCCTCACTTGCATCATGTTTTCTTGCTGGTGCTCAGTAGGGAATGTGGGAATGACCCCAATAAACCATCCCACCAACTCATTCCCTATCGCAACCGATCGCAAGTTGGCTGTGGGTCAAAAATAGGGTAACCCCACAATGGGTTGCCCTGGCAAATGGAAACATGGACTAAAACCTGCGGTCCAATTCCTGGTGGTGACTAATGTTGACCCATACCCAGTTGGCTGTGGCTCAAAAAACCGGTACCAAAATGGAACCCGATCGGTAAGTGAAAACATGGACCAAAACCTGCGGTTTGCCCCTTCTGCTTAATTTTGAGCCACACCCATTTGATTTTCACAGACTCAGCACTTGGGGTATCTGACGGGCGTAGCCGAGGCCTGGGGTTTACAGAAGAGTCATGTCTAATTACCATCGTTTCGTTTAGTTGTTCGTGTTGGTGTTTAGAGTCATGTCAGTTTAGTGTTTAGTTGTTGGTTTCGTGGCTGGCACTATGTTGGAGGAGTCCCATGAGCTCTCCAAGTGGCGCAGGATGGCGAGGAGCCATCCGTGGGCCACACTGTGAAGGTGGCCTGCCGAGCCTCGGAGCGGCCCATGGATGTGGCACACTTACTCACACATCGACCCCTTTTGGCTCGTTTTAAAGGGAGCCACACCAAAACAGGCCGTTTCCACTGGCATAATTTGAGAAGCACCCGCCTGGCCATGGTTCAAAATCCAAATCGGTTAGCGCCCAGTGAACATCCCAACTGCCACTAAAATAGGTTCTAAAATGGGTGAAAATAGACTAACATGGGTGGACCTACCCCAAAATGGTACAAAAACGATTTTGACAACCACGGCCATGTGGGTTTTGGAGTTGTTCGCCCCTTTTGCTGAGTTTTGCCCTCCACCCTTTTCACGTGGTTTTCTAACTTTCGAGACTAGGTCCCTTAATTGGAAAGTTGTCCAAACCAGGACCCTGTCAGGTTACATGTTAATTGGTGGAAGTGGAATTCCCATCCCAATGATTACTCTATCACATTCAAGGATTGTTTTGGAATAGAAACGACCCCTCCGGCAAACATGTTCAGAAGGGTATTCCCAAACAACGACTAGGGGGCAGCTACCCTTGAATCTTATAACTCTCAGCGAGGTTGGTACCGAAAAGTCCGACGCGACTTTGTACCCAGCCCCAAACGAATCACACGTCCATAAACTGTTTAGTGAGCCTGGAAAGCCGTATGGCCATTGTTTTTGGACGGAACCCGTATTTGGATCGTTTTTGCCATATGGTCATTTTTTGCTGGCCGGTGGCCGTATTTGGCCGTATGCAACCCATACTTGTTTAAGAAATTGTTGACAAAAAACCGTAAATGACCGTATGGTCATTTTTTGTGGCCCAACCCGTATGGACAGAAAAGGACGTCACACATGGGCTTCCAGGAGGCAAGTAAACAATTTGGACATTTCAAGGAAGCTGACCATCTCGGTTTGTCTCAAAAGGAAACCCCAAAAAATGTTGGATTCCATTTGGTTTTCCTTTACACCAACGGTACCTCAAAAGGCAGACACACACACACACACACCTCCCCAAACAGTCCCCATACATGAAAACCATTCTGTCAAAGCTTAGCGCGGCCAAAAAGGATATCCGCGCAGCCCCAACTCATCCAACCCGCCGCAAATGAAAGCTTCCACCCAAAAAATCAGCCACAGATGTGCACAACAACAAAAGCAAACCTAAAGCTGGTTTCAAGTTGATGGTCATACGTGTCTCCCTTTCAAAAGGAGGGCCTAAATCGCTCATCATATCGCTTCCCATTTCGGCACCCGCCCGGTCGTCTCCCGATTTCTCTCCCGCAAAAAAAAACGCTCCTGCAAGTCGATGGCAAGCTCGATCCAGTCGCCCAGCTCCAACGGCTTCACGCCTTCGCGAAGAGAAAAAAAAATGCGGCGCGTGCAGCTGATATATCCTCCACTCCAAAGACCCACTTGTTTCTTGGAAAACCAGGGCTTCCATGGTAAATACCGCCGTTTTTTGGTAGAGGGTCGAAATCATACCCTGCAAATGAGGGTATTGGGTGTAAGGGGTAGTCCAAGTGACCCCTGCAAAAGTGAATAACTTGTTGGGGGGTTTAGTGGAACACTCCTTCAAGAATTCAAAGTCTAATGATCCAACCCAATAGCAGTCAAGTGATAGTCCCAGTGACTTGGTCAAATTCGCCAAGATACTTAAGACGACTCGGACTCTGGTCCCCGAAGCATTGAGGAGTGCGGACTAAAGACGCACGCATTGAAGCTTATTTAATATATTTGCATGGTTGTCCTTCTTTTCTGAGGCTACCCCTTTTACCCCGATTGTGTGAAATCCCTAGTTAGGTGTTCGTGAGGGTCCCTATCAGCCCCAAGAACATGAGTCTTTGACCGTGGCACATATGGTGCCCTCTGCGGGTGCGTCAATTGTTTGGGAAACCCAGGTTGCTTTGTTTCGAAGGAACACTGAAACGCAACTAACCGTTTTGGGGCCTCGCGAACCTTTAATTTTGACTGCCATGCATGGTTTATGGTTGCTGGTTACGAGCTACTTTCGCGCCGCAAGCTATGCTGGGCCGCTGCAAGCAGATTTGTTGTGGCAACCGCTATGGTCCTGTCCTGTGGATAAGTAGTCCGGCCCAGGGAGTCCAAAGGCCTGAGTTACGGAGGCCGTTTAAACACGGAGGTTTTTTACGGCCTTTTTACCGGGTGTTTACGGCCTTTTTACGGGCTTTTTACGGGGTGTCTACGGCCGTTGACAAAAGGCCTAAGTTACTCAGGCCGAGGAAGCTCTGGGTGGTGTCTACTAGAATTGCCGACAGCGCACAGAGGCAACAATGTGAAAGCTTCACGTCATGCGGGCCTCTGGCACCAACAAAAGAAACCAACACCGGGGCCAATGCTAGAGACATATACTGTTGCACTTGCATGCATACAAAGGCATCTCCGCTTGTCTGCCTATATCTTGTATAGTATTGGCTCAACTATCTATATAAGTCTACCTATTCTATGGTTGTCTATGCTTATATCTAAGCTTACGCAATGTAGCCATGTCACAACGGTTTTATTACTGGCTGCCCCTCTTTCGAGCACAAGCTTTGTCCATGCCACAATGCTCGAGAGGCTGGGCGACTCAAATTCAGCACAAAGCCTGCCTGTTCCGTAGCTGTTTGTGACTGATAAATCCTGGCTGTCACGCGACATTGATACCGCAACATGTTGAGAGTGTATATGCCACCAGGAAAGGATTCAAGAACCAACATTCGATCCACTAGATTGATCACACTGAGCTCGTTCCAGTTTGTCCAGTTTGCCAAACGAGCCAGTGTTGTGCAGCTGAGCCACTGATCTCCGATCTGACCACCTGCGAGCGGCGAAAACGAGGAACCGGCGGACGGCAAACCTTGAATCTGTCCGCTTCAAATAGAGGAGCGGCTGCTTCTCTGGTGAGGCTTGCTGTGGGCATTGATTGGTCGAGAGATCGCTTGGGCTGAATCCTAAAGTGCTGCATTGATCGCTGGTTTATGTTGCGCAGCTAAACTGCTGGCTGGACAAAAAGACGCTCGCTGAAGGGCACCAGCCCATCACCGTTTCAACCTCGTGTGCATAGTATATAACTAACTGTAAGTATATAACTAACTGAATGTATCTATCAGAGAAGTGGTTGACAAATAAAACGCCTGTGGCCGTGGCCGTGGCAATGTCCGGTTGGGGAACAGGTAGCAAACTCTGCCCTGCTTCATTGTTCACCAAAAAGGAGATTCACTTTGGCATAAGAAAGAAGCCTGAAATCATACTGTTGCCAATGACACAAAATCAGCAATTCCAAAGCCCGACCAGCAACCTGCAAGGCCAACTTCCTGCCGAGCACGCAGAACAATGGTTAAGAAAGTCGTAGAACAATTTGCAGCAAAGCCTTTCTTTGACGAACCGCCAAGCCCTTTTGACAGAACGGAGCTGCGCAACTTGCAAATGTATGAATGACGGATTGCGGAGCCGATTTCGTTTGGCACTCAGAAAAGGATCCAGGCTTTGCTTGAACAATTTGGCGGAAACAACTATGTTCCGGAGTCATTGCGATTGATATTGCCATCATTGTCTCAAGTCTTTGCATCTGCCTTCTTCTGGAAGACGATTGGTGACTAGGGTCAACTTTCCAAAGCGTGCTTGGAGCATCTGTCTTGACCTGGCCTGGCTTCTGGTTTCTTGCGGGCTCAAAGGGATGCAAACTTTGGAGACCCCAATCGAGTTCGCGGGGTGGCAATGAAAGGCCAATGGTTAGCGGCTCCAAAGGCTCCAAAGGCTCCATACTGAAGCCAGGATTCGAGGCATTCCGAATTGTAGCCAGGCTACAAATATTCATGCCCACTTCCCACTGGCAATGTCCTGACTGGGCCCTTCAATTTCAAGGCTTGAGTCTGTTCCCCACTCGGACGCTGCAAATCATTGTCACCTTCGCCAATTACCTACACCGCCCCCCCCCCCCACGGAAGCAAAGAATCTTCACGATTGATAACCCTCGTTTGGCGGCACCCAGTGAGCTTATCACAACTGTTGCAAAGTGCATGAAGCCTCGGGCTTATCCTGGATCCCACTCCCATCCCAAACTAAACTGGGGTAACCCCCCTTTCAAAACAAACACCTGATTTTTCTGCCACCAAGAACATGCGCCAACGAAAGGCTTGACCTTGTCTCCTCTACGTGCTCTTAGCCCAGAATGACCCTCTGGCCTCAGCATGTGCTCGGACACAAATGCGGCCAGTCCTTGGGTCGTGATCGCTGCACGCCGACCGTGGACTGGGAACCTTTGCCATTCGTTCTTGTTTTTGTGCGAGAGATGCAGGGAATGAGACATGGAATGAGCCCTGCAAACCATCCATGTTGGTTTCCTTTAAGGGTTCAACCCCCCCAGACCCCCTACTGACCACCAGCAAGTTTTAGACATATCCTGGCCCGGACAGTGTTTCTGTCAAAATGGCCTTTCTGTAAATTTGACGACGTTCCTTGTTTTTCCTTCTCTTTTTTGTTTTTCGGAGTAAGGTATTTGTTGGATGCATTTGGGTAGTGCATCACCTGACTGGTACACGCCTTCACCGAAGAATCTGTTGATGCAATCACAATGTGATGACCGCCCCAGGCTATGAAGGCAAGAGAGATGCCTGCAAATATGGGGCAGCAAACCCGCATCGCCTTTGGATGCCACAAGGTGACAAACTCTGCATCGCCCAAGTGAAAGGTATGACAGGGTCGTGCTTCAATGTCCGTGTCCTAAAGCAAGAGACACATAGAAATGGCTTGTTCCTTTGGCTTTCCCGTAAAAAGAAAAAGGAGGAAAAAAAACAAAACGGTGTAAGGACACCCTCTCATATAAGGGAATTCATTGAGCCGGGCCCATTATCAGCATGTCCCATGCGGGAGAATATGTTCTGCTTGACTTGGCAGCAAGAGCATCCGCCTGGCGCGGTGCAATGACAATTAAGGTCCCTCCTCTCCCCACGTTCAAATTGAGAAGGACAAACGCATGCGATGCTCACATGTAAAATCACCTGCTCTTACTGGCTGGACACTCGCAGGTTGCCGACTCAAAGTGGATCTGAGCTAGAGGCTTGTTCGCAAAGATGGACACGATCCTGCCCGACTCGATCGGCCCAAAAGGCTGCTAGTAGCACAGCCATGGCACCAAAGCCCATCCTTTGCTTGACATGAACAGCTCAGAAAGGAGGACCGCGATGTACTGCTTGTGAATCTCAACTTTTATCAACTCCCAAAATTCAGCATGGGCATTCACTTGAGTCAGACACCCAAAGAGTCATTCCTTTGGGCCACTTGGCTCTGTTTTTTAACCTGTGCCACCCCACGTAGGTGTGTGTCAACAGGTTCGGGACCCCCAAATTGATTGGAAAGCACTTGTTCAGCTCTCTGTTTCCCTGACCTGAGCAGTGTAGCCCGGTTCTTGTAACAACCCCAAAGTCTTGCATCAAATTCCACCCTGCCTCCACCAGCACGTGAAATACGCCACTGCAGCCAAGGCGCTTCTGGATGTTCTTCGGGCAGGGCAACTTGTTGGAAAAGATGAAGCCAACCCCATCCGCACCTCAGCGTTCGAAAGTTCGGACAAAAATGTCAAACCAAACATGCCCTATTGTTGAGCGCCGTTCGCGCTTCGTGTGCTTTGCAAAGGGTGGTTCCTCGAATCCCTACATATTTGTGCATGGTTCAACCATGGTTCACAACATAGCAAAAGGCAACAGGTCAGCAAGGCACTGAGTACCCTTGCTTTATACCGACCAGTCACCACCCAACCTCACCTCTCCGTCTTTTTTTTCTAAAAATGCCAAACCGCCCAAGTCGACGGAGTCACGCAGGCACTCTGACACAAATGCGACACGAATTATTCAAACAGATCTCGAGTGGCTTAGTTTGCTTTGCTGCATTCGGTTTCTGCGCTGGCTACTCAGCTGGCCCAAACAACGAGTCAGCGTCTTTGCGTTTTGCGCGGTGACACGTGACCGAGTCAATGTTGGAATTCACATGTCCATTGGTCATCCGCCCTCACGGGAGGGTGGGGCACTTGCCAGCTTCAGGTGCTGTTTCGGTATTCCAGCCAACTCAATAAAAGCACCCTTGCCTAAATGAATGGAGCAGCTGCTGGCAAGGCCTATAATCGAAAATTAAAACCCTGTTTCCTGGATAAACGACTAGCAACGACTCACCCGTTAGTAGGAATAACTATGTAAGGAACCCCCGAAGAAGGTCTCATCATGGGTCAGCACATTTGATCTACAGAGCTTGCCTTGTTCATGCTGTCTTGAAGCTAGAGATCAAATAGAACGTGTACAACACAAACATTCTCACACGGCACTCGCCTGTTGGACCAATTCCAAGAACCATCGCCAAGCGCAGCTCGAAGCATCCATCCCTCAGGCTGCCACTGCTCAACTCGCCGCTGCAAAACTGAACCACATACCTGGCCGTGCCAACTTACTTCTAACTTTTAGTGGTTCAGTTCCTCAGACTGGCTTTATGTGGTTTTGTGGAAAGCAGTTCACCAGGTCTGCTAAAAGTCTATCGTTTAGTGGTTTACTAGCAACCACTAAACCCACAACAAGAGTTCGGCGGCGAGCGACTGTTGGACAGCCGGAAAGAAAGCCCCGGAATCCGCGGGGGATAAACCTTGAAGCCGCAGATCGAGTCTCGTTGAATCGATGCCATCGCCCCGGCCATGTCGGCTGAGGCTTCCTGACCCCACTGTCCCAAACGCGAACGTCAGGGATCATTCCTATCCACAACAGGATTATCTTTGGGACGCTTGTGCCTGGTGTCAGTTTGAGCCGCCTTTTGAGGGGCTGGAAAATGGATGACCCAACAAACCAAACCTTTCCAGGAGCCTTATGAAGCCATGAGATGATCATAAGTGACTACCGTGCCACTTTTGCGTCTTTTGTATGCTAGCTCCAATGCAGGAAAAAATGTTACAGTTTCTGTGGATAAGCATCCTGCAAGCCCTGCACTTCTCCCGCAAAATGCGAATTTCAACTCGCGACTTGGGATTGAACTGAACTGGCGGCGTCCTCAATTCTTAGCTGGAAATCCTAAGGATGCTCGCCGACAAACCGGCAAGAACATGATACAAGACCTCAGCCCGCACGGCGCTAGTGTCGTCGGTGCTACTTACTGGGAAAAAACGGCCAAAGTACGCATCTCGAAACTGGAACAAGTGAAGTGAACCAATTCTGACGGATCCTCGCCTTCACGAGTGACATCGCCCAAACATACCATGTCGCGGTAAATGGACATGGCATGGCCTCTTGGATGTTGTCAAAAGGATGCCTTAAAAGGAGTAAATAGCCCAACCATAACACACACACACATGCACACCACACACACACAGATGCACATGCCACAGCGCACGTGCACACACTCACACAGGAACACACACACACACAGACGCAGAGACATATAGACAGACAAACACACAAACACACAGGCACAAACAAACACACAGACACACACAGACAGAAACATATTCACACACACAGAGGCATGGGAGTATGATGACCCTTTTTGAGGGTTGTTTTGGAGCTCGGCGCAATGCTACAAGGCTCTCAAAGAGGACCATGCCAGAGTCTGGTATGCCCGGTCAGCCCGCCTGATAACGCCTTCGCTGTGCACCTTATCCTCTGTGATGACCTGGGCAAGAAACCGCTGGGTTTGGCTCAAACTCAAGCCACAAAATGGTTTCCCGTTGGATTCCCTAACCCAGAAGGGCAGGGTTTGAGAAGCGCAGGATGCAAGCAAGTTTTGCGACTGAAGTGGGCAGAACCCGCCAAGCAGACCCTTGCCCAGCTGCTCAGGGGCCTAAATAATGAAGATGGGATATGTTGCAACAAAACTCATGATCATAGGAGCAAAATGCTGGAAACTGCTTGGACCCTCACTCAGATGCCCAGTGGCCATGTGAAAAAGGGCATCTCTTTTTTGAACCCTTCCCAAAGCACGGAACCAATTCCCAAAACAAGGGGGGGAAAAACAAGGACAAACATCCCAAAACAAGGAACATATTCCCAAAGCAAGGAAAAAAGAGCACCACTGGGCAACTGGGCTCATATTGCTCTTTGCGCCCGACCTAAGTCCCAAGCCGGGCACTGGTTGCAAACGGAGAAATTCACTCACGCACATGCGCGAAGAAACCGGGACAGGATTTGACCTGCAATGACAAACACGAGGACAACATGAATTTGTACTCTACCACTTATGTTTCTTTTTTTGTTTGAAAGGATCGTTTTGGTGCTTTGCAACTGTAGGTCACCCTATTGAGTCGTTGAACATGCAAAAAAAACCACAAGGTCGAATTTTCTCGTTCGACTCGAGGTGAGAAGCTGGCCGCCCAGCACAATTAATCCTCCACACCTGCCGACTCCGGTTGCTTCCTGTAGGGGAGCCCACTAGGCTAGGTGTCTTTTACCCCCCCTTCCAGATCTGCAAAACCGAGAGGGGACTGCGGTAAACTGATGCGTATCGTCCGTTGCAAGTAGCCAGGGGTGTGTCCCCCAAAGTTGACTGCCTGGTGGCTTCCCTTTCAAACAACCCCCTCCTAAAAACAGCCAAGATCAACCTCAAGATACCCTGACTTTGGCTTGGGGTAATCTGAGGTTGCTGACTTTGATAGCCTCAAGAAAAAAAGAAAGAATAAAAAAACAAAAAACGATAACCTCCAAAAAGAGTCAAGATCATGACCCCAGCCCAACCTCAGGGTAGGGCACCCGTACCCAAAACGCCATATCGACACACGGCGTCCGTCCTGGGGCGCCCACCGACAATCGGCCCATGAACTGCTGCTTGGTGAAGGTCCGGGAATCCGAGGCCACGACACCCATCTTGGCCTTAACCCATCCGGACCATTCGAAGCAAAGACCAGACAGGTGTTTCGATTCCTTGTTTGTTTCACAAACATCGAAACATGTTTCCCCCCCTGTGTGTGTGTGTGTGGCGGTTCCTTGTCCGTTTGAGAAAAATCGCAACATGCTTGCCCCCGTGTGGTGTGTGCTGGTTTGTGGAATTCCTTGAAGCAAAACACAAGAAAGAAACAGGGGGGGTGGTCCGATTCCTTTGTTTGCTTTCTTGCTTGCCTCTCTCGGAAGGCACGCAGCTGAGCTTACAGGTTCAAGAACACCGTTCTTGGTGGCTTGGTTGCTCGCTCATGCAAGTAGTTGGTTGTTGTCTGACCCAACCCGAGTTACAAATGAGAAGCTGTGTCATCATCTTGCAGACCGTGAACGAGTCTGCAGCTACACGCCTGATGGCATACGCATCACGTGACTCCTACTTGAATGAGAGAAGAGTGGGAGGCATGCGAGCCCCTATTTCCCGTGCCTTCACTTGACAGTGACTCCTCTAAATAAAGGTTTCGGAGCGAATAATTCTGTCTCTCCAGGATGCCAAGGGAAGATCACCACAAGGTCAAACCGTTGATCCTCAAACCTTTCGCGAATCTAGGGCTAAATCCTTCGTCGGGTCATGTGATCGAGGTCGTAAACTCTGTCTGGTCTTGAAAGTCCACCTGAAGGATTGGATCGACCAGACTTGGTCAACGCGAAATCCAAGTCGCAACTGCACAAAGCTGGGAGTACTGAAAATTGATACGTCTCTTGCGTGAAAATATTCAAGCCAATTTTGAGTATCCTGAGCAAAGACCTGTGACACATTCCGGCTCCGAGCTTCACTCCCAATGCACACCGCGCACTAGGAGCAATGCTATCGGACAATCGGACATGCCGCAGTGCTCAGGATGGGCACCGTCATAGACATATATATATATATACATATATACATATATATTTGTCTCAATATGTGGCTTACGTTTCTTTCTGGTGATTGAAATGATCCTGCGGCACAGCGTGCCAACTGGACAAGAGCACCAGTACTGAGTGTTTGGCCCACAGCTTGCCAATAATATCTCTTCGCTCACTTAGAGTGCAATGCCGTTGCAAGCCCTTGCAAGTATTGGAATTGGCTCATCTCTTTAGTGGTCCGGCGAGTGTCTGCGATGCCATCCCCTCGAAACATGAGAATGAATGTGACCCATTGTTCATGCCTCTGCATCAAGAGGGAGCCTCAGTACCATTGCCGCTATTTGAGCAACTCACCAAAGTCGAGCCATCTTTTTGCCTTGCACTCGTCGACACTCCTCTTTTTCGACCCCAGTACACCATACAAGGGACAGCCTTTGAACCGCGCCATAAGACTGACAATGCCCCTCAGCCCCCTCGGCCCCCCCCCACCCATTCCCCCCCATTCAGCCCTGGACTGTCTCTGGGTGGAAGCGATGCTGCAAGCCGAATGTGGGGCCCTGCGTGTCACAGCTGTTGCCCGAAGCCCTTCAAAACCATTCGAATTTTTGAAAGGCATTCGCAGAAGCGCAGATGTACATATGGGTGTGTCTTGTTTAAGGTTGGCCCCCTCCAAAATGGCGATTTTTGCTCTGGTGTTGTTTGAACACCTCAAAAACGGGTACCTCGGGGAAAAAGAAAGGACAAAAAGGACCCATATGTGTTGTATGCGTGATATGTGAGGTTGCTTTTGGAGGCACAAGCATATGAGGTTGCTTTTGGAGGCACGAGCAACAGGATGCCTGATAGGTCCCTGGTGGTTTCTCTGCCCCCAAACGCATGAGCTGCTTCTTGTGCACTTGGTGGCATCTCATCAAGAGTAGGTGATGATCGCACATTTGCCAGCAGAAATTTCACACGCAGATTTGACTGCTTTCTCTGGCGGCGGTTGACGAGTCCTGCTACTGAGAAAATTGTTCGACTGTTCACTGATTGTGTCTCTGTGGCAGTCAATAATCCGTTCCCCCTGTTAATACACGGACCCTATTAATAGATACGATTTTTCCCTGACCGCGGGGCCCCCGATAGAATAGGCAAATTCAAAACCAATACTAAACTCTCGGATTCTCACCCAGACCAGCCCTAGCCTTATTAGGGGGTGGGCAATTTGTCCAGGACCCAAGCTCCTTGCAACAACCAAATAACAAGCTGAGGGTGTTGTTTTCGAGCCGGAGCTCCAGTACTACAAAGTTGTGATTTTTGAGCCGGAGCTCCGGGAGCACGTTTCCTTTACTACGGTCGTACTACAAACTTGCGATTGTGGGCCCGCTTGAAGGGATGAGCATCTTTGTCTCCAGGGGGCCCATCAGACCCAAAAGGATCCTATTAATAAATATGGTTCCTCCCCGAGGCTGATTTACTAATGGGGGGGGGGGGTCGGGTTTGTTATTGGGGGAAGGGATTATGCGTGATGAAACTGTTCACTCGCTGCGTCCTGTATCTTTACATGTCGTGAAAATTCGTCACTCGGCTGCCACACACCACGCCAGGAGTTCTGAGAACATTTCCGCGAGGTGTCAGATTTGTACCTCCGACATGACTATCCAATGGCCACGCAAGTGGACAAAAACATATGAGGAGCGGACGAAACACTTTACTTGGCCCTAGTACTTTTTTGCACGTTATCGTTTTTGGGGGAGACCTTATCGTTTTACAGTGTTTTCGAACTTGGGCAGATCCGGCTCGAAAATCGCAACTTTGTAGTGCAAGTCTAGTACGCGAAGTACACTTCCGCATCTCCAGCTCGAAAATCGCAACTTTGTAGTGTAGTACAAGTCCAGTACGCGAAGTACACTTCCGCAGCTCCAGCTCGAAAGTCGCAACTTTGTAGTACAAGTCTAGTACGCAAAGTAAACTTCCGCAGCTCCAGCTCGAAAATCGCAACTTTGTAGTACAAGTCTAGTAAGCGAAGTACACTTCCACATCTCCAGCTCAAAAATCGCAACTTTGTGGTACAACTCTGGTAAGCGAAGTACACTTCCGCATCTCCAGCTCGAAAATCGCAACTTTGTAGTACAAGTCTAGTACGGGAAGTACACTTCCACAGCGCTCCAGCTCGAAAATCGCAACTTTGTAGTACAAGTCTAGTACGCGAAGTACACTTCCGCAGCTCCAGCTCGAAAGTCGCAACTTTGTAGTACAAGTCTAGTACGCAAAGTAAACTTCCGCAGCTCCAGCTCGAAATCGCAACTTTGTAGTACAAGTCTACCTGGAAAGCCGTATGGCCATTTTTTTTTGGACGGAACCCGTATTTGGATCATTTTTCCCGTATGGCCATTTTTTGCCGGCCGGTGGCCGTATTTGGCCGTATGCAACCCGTATTTTTTCAACAAATTGTTGACAAAAAACCGTAAATAACCGTATGGTCATTTTTTTGTGGCCCAAGCCGTATGGACAGAAAAAAACGTCACATATGGGTTTCCAGGTAGTACAGGAAGTACAATTCCACAGCGCTCCAGCTCGAAAATCGCAACTTTGTAGTGCAAGTCTAGTACGCGAAGTACACTTCCGCAGCTCCAGCTCGAAAATCGCAACTTTGTAGTGCAAGTCTAGTACGCGAAGTACACTTCCGCATCTCCAGCTCGAAAATCGCAACTTTGTAGTACAAGTCTAGTACGCGAAGTACACTTCCGCATCTCCAGCTCGAAAATCGCAACTTTGTAGTACAAGTCTAGTACGCGAAGTACACTTCCGCATCTCCAGCTCGAAAATCGCAACTTTGTAGTACAAGTCTAGTACGCGAAGTACACTTCCGCAGCTCCAGCTCGAAAATCGCAACTTTGTAGTACAAGTCTAGTACGCGAAGTACACTTCCGCAGCTCCAGCTCGAAAATCGCAACTTTGTAGTACAAGTCTAGTAAGCGAAGTACACTTCCACATCTCCAGCTCAAAAATCGCAACTTTGTGGTACAACTCTGGTAAGCGAAGTACACTTCCGCATCTCCAGCTCGAAAATCGCAACTTTGTAGTACAAGTCTAGTACGGGAAGTACACTTCCACAGCGCTCCAGCTCGAAAATCGCAACTTTGTAGTACAAGTCTAGTACGCGAAGTACACTTCCGCAGCTCCAGCTCGAAAGTCGCAACTTTGTAGTACAAGTCTAGTACGCAAAGTAAACTTCCGCAGCTCCAGCTCGAAATCGCAACTTTGTAGTACAAGTCTAGTACAGGAAGTACAATTCCACAGCGCTCCAGCTCGAAAATCGCAACTTTGTAGTACAAGTCTAGTAGTACACGCGAAGTACACTTCCGCAGCTCCAGCTCGAAAATCGCAACTTTGTAGTACAAGTCTAGTACGCGAAGTACACTTCCGCATCTCCAGCTCGAAAATCGCAACTTTGTAGTACAAGTCTAGTACGCGAAGTACACTTCCGCAGCTCCAGCTCGAAAATCGCAACTTTGTAGTACAAGTCTAGTACGCGAAGTACACTTCCGCAGCTCCAGCTCGAAAATCGCAACTTTGTAGTACAAGTCTAGTACGCGAAGTACACTTCCGCATCTCCAGCTCGAAAATCGCAACTTTGTAGTACAAGTCTAGTACGGGAAGTACTCTTCCGCAGCTCCCGCTCGAAAATGTGCAACTTTGTAGCACAAGTCTAGTACGCGAAGTACACTTCCGCAGCTCCAGCTCGAAAATCGCAACTTTGTAGTACAAGTCTAGTACGCGAAGTACACTTCCGCAGCTCCAGCTCGAAAGTCGCAACTTTGTAGTACAAGTCTAGTACGCAAAGTAAACTTCCCAGCTCCAGCTCGAAAATCGCAACTTTGTAGTACAAGTCTAGTACAGGAAGTACAATTCCACAGCGCTCCAGCTCGAAAATCGCAACTTTGTAGTACAATCTAGTACAAGAAGTACACTTCCGCAGCTCCAGCTCGAAAATCGCAACTTTGTAGTGCAATCCTAGTACGCCAAGTACACTTCCGCAGCTCCAGCTCGAAAATCGCAACTTTGTACTACAAGTCTAGTACGAGAAGTACACTTCCGCAGCTCCAGCTCGAAAATCGAAACTTTGTCGTGCAAGTCTAGTACGCGAAGTACACTTCCGCAGCTCCAGCTCGAAAATCGCAACTTCTCAGCACAAGTGTCGTATTTACGAAGCACACCTTGGCAGCTCCAGCTCGAAAGTGGCGACTCGCCTTCTCGTTTTACGGTGGCCACGCAAGGGTCCCACCCTAGCTAAGTTGCAACTGCAGGGGTTATTATAGAGCCGTGTGTTAGCTAAGGGTTATCGTTTTGCATGGTTTTGGCATGTGTTATGCAAAAACGTACCCCGCCTTGATAAAGTGGTCTTCGTGTGTTTTGTCCGTGGCTCATATGAATATTCATACGCGGCATCACCCTATCTTTAGGTCTGTGCCCCGATTCAAAAGGGAAGATATCTGGTTGGGGTACGTCCGATTACTTGAGCAATGGATACAGAAAAAACATGATCAACATCGTCGTTTCTGTTGGTTAACATCAAAGGAGGCCTACAAAAAACAATAAAGCAGGGGTCCAATCCATTGGTCATTGTATCTGGAAGGCAGTAATCCCTTAAGAATCGAGGCATAAATGGATTTGATGGGGACACAGCGGCTTCTATTCACTGAAAAAGAAAACGAAACCACAGAGAAGAATACCAGCCAATATTACTGTACCACAATGCCCCGATAGTGGCCTACCCAAAGCCCGATACCCGTGTAATCTTGGGACGTCGTCCCCTGCCTTGGCGGTCACAACTGGCCGGTAGGACTCAAGAACAGGCGCCTGCGCTGGCACAGCGGGGGGGAAAAAACAACAAAAAAACAAACGGCCAAAAGTGGGGTGTCCAACATACAGAGACCCCGATTTTGACTGGGCCACAACCTCTAAAACCCAGCTTCCTATATAGCTGATACGTCTACATCAGCGGACACTGCAAGACGTCAGAGCGCAGGGTTAATCCAGAAAGGCACTTTGCTGAGTATGTTCTTTTTGGATTGACCGTGGGCCCTTGGACACCCTCGCAAAAATAATAATGGATAAAGAAATAGAAAAACAACTTCCGTGGGATTCGGATCTAGAAGTTCAATGCATGTGAGTCGCTCTTGGTTGGTATTGCTGAAGAGACCTAGTTATTTGCCTAGATGTGATAAGTCAAAACTTAAACATGGTCAAATCTAAAAGCCATCTTGAATACCCGTGTTCAATACTGAGGAACCGGTAGCAGAAATGCCTGTCTAAAGAAGAATCTATCCTTTCATGTGTGAAGTGGCTGCACTTTCTGCGCGCGTGGCCTGTGGCCTCCAGGCGCTGGGGCACTGACGCGCGCGCTCCGGGCGCATCGACTTATGGGAACGAACGCTGGGCATTCACCCAGGAAATGGTATTCTCGATGCCCCAAACTGTCAGCTCTCACGCAACCCGTTACAGCCAGGCATGATTGTTTGTCCTCATGCCATCTGAACCCAGACATCATTTGCTCAAGCCCAGCATCTCCAAAAATGGAGACCCCAGGTTTCCTCCTTGAGTGTGATAAAATAAAATGTTGGCCCAGATTTGAGACGCGCTCAGCCCCAGTCATGCCCGAAGGCTGCACTGGAAACACGCCTGGATGCTAATGAACTTTGGCCTGAACTGAGGACTGGTGAAGCAACTTAACGCACAAAACGCAACACGTAGCCCGAACTTCAACAACCGAATCACTGGCAATACAAGCACTGCACTAAGGTCAGGTCTCAGGTTGATTACAGGGCGAGGAGCGAGGAGCCATCGACCTACTTCACGTGTTGCATTTCAATCAGCCAGTCTAAGGGCTAGGCAACGCGCCACGAGCAAAATTGTTGTGTCTTAAACAACACCTAAAGTATCCGAGCACAAACCCTATAATGCTCTTTCTGAGAAACACATTCGGGTATAAGTTGACAATTGGAGCATGTTGGTTGGCCGGGCTTCTGTCTTGTCACTCAGAGCCTGAGCTTGCAGCTCTTTGTGCTTTGGCTCAACGCAGTTCGTCGGATTCCCGCCACATCGGGACTAGTGAGTTAGAATCAGCTAGCATATCCAACAAATACGCACCGTGAGCTCACGGTGTGAGAGTTCATCCAGGAAACGGGTGCGCGACAATTAGGGGTCCATGTGCTAACTGATTGCCTGAGACAAGGCCCTCTCACTCTTCGGGCAAATGGATTGCCGCATTCAGGCGTTTCCAAGTGAAGCAAATTAAATCCAAAGCCCGCGGCGTGCGGCGTGCGGCAGCGCCCACAACTTCCAAATCCGTAACTCCGAGCTTTCAGCCTACGGCTCCCTGTCCAACACAAACATGAGGCATAAAACGGAAAGGCAGTGTCTGGGCGAAACACGTCAACCTCTTTTCCGGTCGAAAGGACAACCGAAGGAAAAGCCGAAAAGGCAACATTTAAAATAAGGTACGCTACCCTCCCATCCGCGAACATAGAACCTGACTCGGAATTCTGTCAGACACTTGTCCTCTAAACAAAGTGTGGGCTCCATGTCAATGGACAGGAGGATAAGTCCGGCAGATTGCAAACTTCCAGCCCAAAGCCCCCACACCATTTTGAGCATTCGAGCCTGCTGAGAATCGTCTCTTCCGTCCACCTCCACCACAGTGCCCTCGGCTCGCGCTGCACTCTGGTGTGGATGTGCAAAACAGGGGGATCCTCAACAATGGTGGGCGTCCCTTTAGTTTCCCATCAAAGCTACCCGAAAACGGTACCCTCAAAAAGCGCTCTGCCAGGGCCTTGCCAGGTCACCGAACTGAGCCCATCGCGCCTTAGGCAAGTTCTTCGAGCCCCCTGGAACATCCAAGATAGCTTCTTTACGTATCTCTTCAACTTGAATTCTTCAGAGGCGGCCTTGGAAGCCAGCCTCCGCTTTGTATACACAACCTTGGTAGTGAGCGAACATTCCCGGCGGAAGCCTTGTGAAAGATCAAGTCCTTGCGGCATTTCTGCATTTCCAGACTCAGTGCGAAATGCGAAATGAGACCAAACAACACAAACGCAGCAAACCCATGTTCTTCTTGGGGCGGAGACTTGGAATAGGTGAAAGTATACATGTTCAAATTTATGTTCTCCAGTTGGGCAAAAAAAGGGGCCACTGGATTCAATACCCAAGTAACGCAATCTCCCGGGGCCGGTGCCCTGGTGACACGCATTATAAATTGACTGGCATCCTACCAAGCTGCCAGTGAGAAACCCATGGCGTCGCACCATGTGTTGCTTGTACATAACTTATTCTTTTTTTTCTGTGGTAAGTGTTGGGCTCCTAGATAGGTTCTAAGTTCTAAGAACTGGGTTCTAGAATGCCACACACATGATTGTCCTTTGCACACGCCACGCTGGCACCAGTTGATTTAATAACCCGTTGTTTAGGGTCCCTGAAAGTGGTTGGTGGCAACTCACATGGACTACAACACGATGCACCTGTCATGCCCCGGACACGCGCTACTTGTTTCATAGGATGATCTGGAATGCGGATCGCTCATTGGCTTTGCCTGAATCATGCACTGGCACGAAACATCCAACGGAATGTTCAAAGAACGACACACCGAATCCTGGACAGTCCCCAGCAGCAAAACAGGCATTAAACCCCAGAACAGTGGAAGTGCAAAGTGCCAATCTGTCCACAACAAATTCTGCGAAGTTTAGGGCGTTTGCTCGTTTATGTGTCCGTGGCAAACCGGCAGAGCAGGCAGTCTAAAAATACTTCAACAACAACTCCAGCAATTATCCTTGACAAGTTGCATTAAAGCCTGTGGAACACTAGCAAAGCTCAGCGGGGCTGGTGTTTCTTGCACGTTTCAGAGCTTGCCTGTCTGTAGGCTAGGACAAAAGTGATAAAGTGCAGCAGGGTGTCAAACGCATGCCTGTAGCCCTGTAGCCCGGCTGAACGATTATTTCTGTTCTTTCCCACAACCAAATCGCAAAAAAAAACGTTCATGTGCCGGGCGTCATCTGCAGCCAGCATGTAGCTGCGGCCAGTCCCTTTGCCCTTGCCTGCCAAGAAAAACTTCATGACAGCCGAGGAAACCACGCATCTGACAGGAAATGGCGTTATATGGGCATCAAGAAGTGAGGCCACAATAAGGCGCCCAATCGATATACCAGCTGGTTGGGCCTTCCCCAAAACGGAATAAACTTGAGAGAGGGGTGGACGAATGCTAGCAACACGCGCATAGCTTTTGCCGCCGTAAAAGAACGGCAGCAGTCCGCCACGTGATAGCAGCGTAAAATGAAACCTCATTTTTTCCTGCGCGGTTTAAGGCGGCATGGAAGCCAGAATGGCAAGCCAGAGATGGAATGCCGAGGCGAAGGTGAGGAAGTGAAGCAAGACCAATGGTAAGCACTAACAGCCTGGTGATGGGAAAGAGCATCTACTCGAAGGGCAGGCTTTAAAGGCAGTGATGTTGGCATGAAGGCCGAGGCCGTGCAAGAGCAGCGGCATGAAGGTCAAGCTCCACGGGCCGGGCTGGAGGTGATCCGGCAACGAGACGATGAGTTGAAGTCCCGACAAGAGTCTCCGACCCCGACAGCAAACCAGGTCACACACCGACAACAATGTCTCCCGACAAGAAACGCGCCCCTCCGCCTGAAATGCAAGCAACCAGTCACAGCACGCCACACCCGACACTGGGAACAGGCACCAGAACAGCACTACACCAAACACTCGGAACAGCACAAGCAACAGCACTACCAAGCACCCGGAATTGCAGCACCCAGAACAGCACTACCACCAGGCACACGGAACAGCACTACACCAAGCACCCAGACAAGCATGACAGCCACACTACACCAACACTACACCAAACACAAGCACCTGGCCGCACTGCGAAGCACCTGGAACAGCACCAGGCACCCGGCACAGCACTGCACCAAGCCTGGAACCCAGCACCAAGAGCACTACACCAGGCACCTGGAACACTACACCATTCATGAGCCAGACCCACGTCCATCAGCCGTCAACTCTTCCGAACCGCACTGCGAGGCCAGACCCGCGCCACGCAAGCACCACCAAGCACTCGGAACAGCGCACTTGGAACAGGACTACACAAAATGCAGCGCTACACCGAAACACCACTACACCGAACAGCACCGAACAAAGCACCCGGAGCAGAATCAGACCGCGCACACTCGCACTGCACCAGACACCTGAAACAGCACTGCACCCGCAGCACTACAGCACAGCCCGACAAGCCGGAACCCCGGAACAGCACTACCAATCACCCGGAACAGCACTACCACCACGCACCTGGAACGGCGCCCGGAACAGCACTACACCAAGCACACGGAACACCCAAACAGCACAACATTAGGCACCACACCAAGCACCCGGAACAGCACCACCAAGCACCCCTACACAAGGCACCCGGAACAGCACTACACAAGCACCCGGAACACAGCGAGCGCATTCTTTGCTGATGCCACATGACCCTGGCATCTGAGGAACCTCTTGGGGATGCTTTGCCAAGAACCGTATGCTTTTTGGGAGCAGCATCGCAGGGGGCGGAGGCCAGTCTACCGTCGCAAATGAACATGGAATCCAAAACAGGCATGCCCCCAAAAGAGATTATTCTAAACATACACTCGGTTGCTTTCTGCTCTCCTGCTAAAAGTTTAACTTTTAGTGGTTTAATGGAAAACCCATTAGTTGACGAAAAGTTAAAGTCCTAACATCCAAGAAAAATGCACCAAAGTATAGCTTGTGGGTGTCCATATTGGCCTTCCAGGTTCATTTTCGGAGGATCTGAGTATCAACCCGAGTGAAACGTTCCCAGCAAAAGGGTGTTCGCGCCGTTTCCCAAAAGGATATCCGCCGCCGTTGTTTGTAGAAGGCTGCTGACCGAAGCGTGTTTACGCTGCCGAAATGGTTTACAATACATATCGCCGTGTTTGCAAAAACCATTTGTCTGCCCAGTTGTCCGGATTTCTTGGGCAATAGGCTTGGAAAGCTCAGCTCTGATGGGGGCGCATCTTCAGTTCATGTTCCATCTCTTGAATGTGTCTCAATAACACAGAGCTTCTCCTGGATGGTTTTACAAACAAATTACACCAGCGTAGACTCCAGATAGCACATCACGGCTACGAACCATTATGCAGCATCATAATGGTTCCCGAGGCATCATGATGATGTTGACAGCATCATGATCATGTTGAAGGCATCATGATGATACCACAGCCACTCAGCATGTGCGCTAAATAGACACGAAGACAGCGTCCTAATGAGTTCAGCAGCATAAATGATGATGTTGACAGCATCATGCTGATGCAAAAGCAACGAACGATTCCGCGCCACATATCTAGCAGAAAAAAGGCAGAGACGATCATGATGATGCGGACAGCATCACGATCATGCGGACAGCACCACCATGATGCGGACAGCATCATGGTGATGCGAACAGCATCATGGTAATGGTAAAATTGAAAAGGCAGCATGATGATACCATAGCCACGAATCTTCTCGCGACAGCGTAGTGAAATTCAGCATCATCCTGATGTTGGCAGCAATCATGGCGCCACCACACCCACGAACCATAACGCAGCCTCGCAGCATCGCAGTGACAGCAGCATCATGACGCGGGTGACAACATCATGATGACACACCAGCCACGAACCACGCACCATGACAAACGACTGTTAGACTACTAGAGCAGCAACAACGTCCGAACCGGTTCAACGGCATCATGAAACAGCACCCGCCCTAGCACCCTGCCGTCCATATGCGCCCACACCGTCACCAACACCTCAAGACAGCAGCCCCAACAGCACCCCAACGCAGCACCCGCACCAGCATTGGACAGGTCCCCGAGCACCGAGCACCTTGCCGTCACGTACTGTCACCAGCCCGAACAGCACCTCAAAACTGTACCTGCGCCAGCACCCCAAAGTGCATGCCCCCTAGCTCCCAACCGTCGATCTTGCAAAACAATCCCACTTCTTCATTAGAAGTTAGAACCCCGGCAACCCAACACAGCAGTTGCACCACCACCCCAAACTGCGTCAAGCTCGCAAAACAGCACCAGCACCCCGAACTACATCTGGCACCCGGCCGTCAATCTCGCAAAACAGCACCTCCACCAACACCCGAAACCGCATGCCCCCTAGCACCCGGCCATCACTCTCGCAAAACAGGCAAACACTCTCGCAAAACAGCACCTCCACCAACACCCCAAACTGAATGCCGTTAGCGCCCGGCCAACTCTCGCAAAACAGCACCCCCACTAGCACCCCAAACTGCATGCCCCCTAGCACCCGGCCATCACTCTCGCAAAGCAACACCTCCACCAGCACCCACTGCATGCCCCGTAGCGCTCGGCCATCAATCTCGCAAAGCACCTTCACCAGCACGTCACACCTGGCACCCGGCCGTCAATCAGCAGCACCCCAAACTGCATGCCCCCTAGCACCCGGCCATGCAAAACAGCACCTCCACCAACACCCCAAACTGCCTGCCCCCTAGCACCCGGCCATCACTCTCGCAAAACAGCACCTCCACTAGCAGCATGCCCCCTAGCACCCGGCCATCACTCTCGCAAAACAGCACCTCCACCAACACCCCAAACTGCATGCCCCCTAGCACCCGGCCATCACTCTCGCAAAACAGCAAACTGCATGCCCCCTAGCTCGCAAAACAGCACCTCCACCAGCACCCCAAACTGCATGCCCCCTAGCACCCTGCCATCACTCTCGCAAAACAGCACCTCCACCAACACCCCAAACTGCATGCCCCCTAGCACCCGACCATCACTCTCGCAAAATTGCACCTCCACTACTAGCACCCCAAGCTGCATGCCCCCTGGCACCCGGCCGTCAAGCTCGCAAAGCAGCACCTCCACCAGCACCCCAAACTGCATGCCCCCTAGCACCCGGCCCTCAATCTCGCAAATCACTTTTCCTTCTTTATTAGAAGTTAGAACCCCTATAGCTTTCAGCTATCTGGGGAATCCCTGTAAGTAACAATTTGAACATTGGAAGAGTCCCTGTTGACGCATGGCCACCTTTGGTTTGCGGAACTTTAGCCCTTGGGTGGCCGGGTGGCCAGGGCCGTGGACGCACTCTGATATTCTCGCCTTTTTGCACGGCACGGATCTGCGGTCACTGTCAATCACACCAAAGGGCTGTGCCCAAAGATGGTCTGGTATCGACATGTTCACAAGGATGCCGATAAGGGTAGCCCGGACAAAAGGTTCAGAGTTCCGATTGCCGAGGGATGGCCCAACCCCAATCAACACGTGCATCAGATCGCGCCTTTTCCTTTGCCCGTACCCTTGCGGCGCTCCTGGGGTCAACTTCAGCTCGAGGGTTCATGTTTCTCTTGCCCCAGAAACTAAGCACAAAACTATTGGTCCAGCAATGGGGAATTCCCAACTTCCGGATTCTGATACTACCAAGATTGGACAACATGGGGATCCCCTTGCTCCAAACGTCTGGGCATAGCTCGATTGCAACTGTGTGCGTGTGACGTGGGTGCCCACAAGTTGCTTGCAAAGGGCAATAGTTGCTCCATCTCGTGGAAAACTACTCGCCCGAACAAATGAGAAACAATCTGCACAGTTTGTCTGTCGCTTGATGCTGCTTCCTTCTTGATAGGGCAAGCGCCCTAAACAGCTCATGCGACTGGAAGAAGCTTGGTGGCAACTGACAGCTCACTAAGCGTGATTCCACTATGCACTTAGCAATCAAGCACTGTTAGGGGAACAAACATGCGCCATACGCACGATGCGCGAGAAGCCGACACTTCCAGCGAAGCTGCTACGGCACAGAAAATGAGCGGCGTCAGCTACACCTGGGCTCCAAGATCCAAACATCTGCCCCCTGTCTACTTCTTTGGGACTAAGAAAGCGCGCCAAATACGAACAAGCATGCACAAACGCAAACGCATACACGCACATCCCCTGTGGGTGAAGTATCCAAGCAACACGAGCAAGGACCTTTTTGGCTCCAGGCAAATTCGTGTTTCCATCAAGCTACCATGGGCATCATTCTAATATGAACACGCATGAGCACATTATGGTATTCCTTGAACATAATAACCTAATGCATGCTTCAAAACTACACATTCGCAGCAAGTGGTTGGCAGTAGCCCGTGTATTATTTAGATTGCAAGGGACTCGCTTTCCAGCCTTGAAACACACAAGTATGAATTTGTTTGGTCTCATGTTGATATGTGTTTTGTCATGATACATCGACTGTAGCGTGCGATGGCTGCAGCTGCCTGCCAGGCGAGCTTCGTTACCAGTTCCATACGACGTGAGTACACTCACTGCTCCCAAAAGTTCGGCCAAGAGCCCAATGCAGGTATTGGTATCCAGCCCACCCTACCCAAAGCCAGGGGCTAGAGCTTTCTGTTTGGGACAAGAAAGACGTGGAACACAATCTTGGACACCAAAGCGGATGGTTGCCATCTTAGTACTAACATTGCAAACGGCGTCCGTTTGGTGCCATAGGTGTCCTTTTGGGGGAAATAGATGGCCCTGGATGATTAAACCACCTGGTAAACCAGGAATCGCCATCTATTCTTTTGGGACACCGATGTCTGGTGCTGCACAACGCGGCGACTCAAAACCACCACGCTGAAATCTAGTTGCAACTTCTGCCCTGGCTCTCGGTTCCTCTCCCCCGGGTCCTTGATGCTCTCCCTGAGCAAATGCACGAATCGCGAGCTCTGGATCTTTGTTTTTCTGGTGCCGCTGCAACTGACCCGAGTTGCTTTCTGGTAAACAAAGAAGGAATAATCCGAATTCGGACTCGTGGCTTCGGAAGACTCATGGAAGTGGGTCAAGCCAACTAGAGCTTGTCGCAGCAGAATGGGGACAAAACGAAAGAGCTGATCGGCATCTAGGGCAACCCATAACGAGAATAGAATGGAAGGACCATCGGGTGCGCACGGCAATTTCCGGGGACCGTCCAAACCGCTGCACCACTTGAAAAACCAGGCAAACCCAAGTGGCCCAAGTGTGTTGTCAGTTGTAGTGTGATCATGAAGCAATTGCAGGATAGGATCTTCGAAACGATTGATCTCCCCATGCAACTCATCCAATATATTCTGTTGTACAAATATGACTTGCCAAGTTGGCCCGTGCTCGCTGATGCAACCAATCGCAAGCTCTCCCGGAAGAGAGTGCAAGGTTCGCCGACGCAGCAGTTGTGATCATTTCTCGATTACATAGACCAACCACGTTGCCCCACCCTAGTTTGAGCTCAAGGGGTTGGAAAGCGTTATAGAAGGTTGAAAACAATCATACGCTGGCGACTTCTGCCTTGAGTCATCCCTTGGTGCAAACTGCCCCATGCCAAATCAGCCCCATGCCGTATCGACTTCAATCAGCTTCCTGCTCGGGGCCAGGCTCGGAGTGATCGAAGTCACCATAAGCCTCGGCTTATTTTCGCTTATTTCAACAATTTGAAAACTCAATTTGCGGCCCCCCAAAAAAATTGGCCACGCCGTGCAAACAGGGCCTGGTTGTTGTCTGTTGTCTCAAACAGGGCCTGGCTGTTGTCTGTTGTCCGACTCCCTGGTGTCAAAACCAGTCCAGGTTCTGCTGGCGAGTGGGGTCAATGAACTAGTCAGAATATGTCAGAACTGCAACTCCTTTCCACGCGGCTTCCCGTCCTCTTGGTGAATTAATCACGTGCTGCATCTCAGTGCAGTGGCTCGTGCAAACAGGGAAACCAGGCCACCCCTGACTCCGACATTCCTAAAGCAGGCAGGCGAGCAGACAAACGAGGACACTAGAACGAAAGCAGGCAGGAAAATAAAGAACTGGCACAAACATGGAACAAACAAACTGGAACAAACAAACATGCAAACCTAGCAAGCAAAAACCAAAAGACCGAGGACAAATACACGCACACAAGATACCAAACCAGCAAATACGAGAGCAAACAAGCAAACCAACACGCCCACGAACAAGCAAGCAAGCAGGCTGGCAAGAAAGCAAGTAAGCATGAACCGGCGAGGAAGCGGGCAAGCCAGCGAGCGAGCGAGCGAGCGAGCGAGCGAGCGAGCAAGCAAGCAAGCAAGCAAGCAAGCAAGCAAGCAAGCAAGCAAGCAAGCAGGCATGAATAAGAGCAAGCGAGGGAGCCAGCCAACCAGCAAGCAAGCAGGCAGGCAGGCAAGCAGGCGAGCAAGCAAGAGCACAAACACACGCACACACACAAACAAACGCACACACACAGAGACACTCTGGCACGCACGAATGAAGCAGGCAAAACGGCAAGCAGGCAGGCACGCAGGCACGCACACCACCGACACGTGCGCGAACGACAAAAACACAAACACGCAAACACACACACACACACACAGACAAACGCACTCACACACAACACAACAAAACACACTCACACATGTCCAAAACATTAAACAAACAAAACCACAAACACGACCACACACACACACACTAATCACAGGCACAAACACAAGCAACAACACAAATACAATCACAAACACAAGCAAACATACACACAAGCAAGCAAACTAGCAAGCAACATATCATCATTAGCACAGCCCGGAGAACAACAGAGACATGCTTACTCTCCAAGCAGAACAGTATTGTGTTGCATCGCGCCGCAAGAGTGGATGTGAGAGGAACTCTTCCTTTACTTGAAGTCCGACTACAAGCTTGATCGCTGGAGCGAAACACAATAATCCGCTTACCCTTTATGAATTAGTGCGGGTGTGCTTCTCTGTAAGCTCCAAGCAGCCAACTCAACCACCAAACAAGACCCTTGGCCCACCCAGAGTTACCACGGCAAACGGAGCATCGACGCCGAGTGGCTGGGCGCGTCCCTTGACAAGACGGCTGTGTCAAGGTCCTGAGCAAAGTGCTGTCGGCTCCGCTGCAGCACGAAAGCTTGGCGCGAAGGACGGTCAAAAGGCTGAGACAGGAGACACTGAATTGGCCATGGGTCAAAACCCCGTACCCCCAGTGAACATCCCAATCCCCACTAAAATAGACTAGGGTGGTGCACCTATCCCAAAATGGTACCATTGGTTTTGAACCAGGGCCAATTGGACCATATCAGGGCCTCAGGGGCTTATCCGCACTTGATGCGTGAACTGAAAACTTGCACTCCTGCTCCTTCAGGAGTCCATGAGTACTGATGTTGCTTGGTTGCTGTTGACCCCCCTGCAAAAGGTTAAGCCTTTTGGGGGGTTAGTGGAAAACCCCTCGATTTCCCAAAAAGTTACAGTCTTAAGATCCAACCCAATAGCAGTCAAGGTTCCAGCAAAATTCCAGGCGCTTGGGCAATCAAGAATCGGGCAGAAAGGGGGCTTCCTCTTGGGCAACTCCCAGCAAAACTGTCCCTTCCAACCAGGCCGCATGTGGCCCATGTCAGATGTTCCCCGGCCGAATCGGAGCGTGCATGCGAGGTTGCGCCATGCTGTATCTAGAGGCAATCACGGTCTTTCCCCAGCAACTGCTGCTCACACGAATGCTAATTTAGGCCTCCAAAGCTCAATAGACACACAAAAATGGGAGGGCTTGGTCTATCCTCAGAATAGTCCAAATATCTGATTGACTCGGGAGGTCTATCAATGCAAGAAATCAATGCAACAAACAAAACAACCATGCGCTTGAAGTAACATTTAAGAGCCAAAAAGCTTTGTGGATGTTCGCTCGACAGAAAGACCTGCCGTGTTGTGATAGACATACATTACAGCAAAGTCTATCCCAATTGCTCGGTGATCCTCGTGGAAAAAGGGGGCCCTTCTTGGGCATGACCATCTTTAGCGGGGAATCCGCCAAGCAAGGTGCTACTGAACAACTGGGCAATCTGTGGAGTCTGTCTCACTAGGCTGCAACATGCGACACAGCCACCTCGAAAGCATGCCTTGATACTCTACCATTGGCTTCGGGCCAACCTTTCTATGTAAACAAGAAACCAGTTCTGACAAAGTGTCAAAAGGGTCTGGCTTCATATGACCTCCGCTGCATCTTGAGCCTAAGTCGGTGGCCTTTGTTGCCCATGGGCAATCACCCACTTGTGCCATGTGCACACACACACACACACGCGCGTCAGCCTTCTTGTATGTATCTCACCCAGCTGGGAGTACACTCCATCAAGACTTGACAGTCTCAATACCAAACATTACACGGCTGCAAAACACATACGGAATTTCGAACGCGGTGGTGAGAACGTCCCCTCAATTTCACACTCGCCCGCCGCATCTTGTTTACACCGAGGATCAGCGGCAAGTCCCCCGGAATTGAGCCACACTGCATGCCCTGCATGTTGCCCTGCATGTTGCCCTGCATGTTGCCCATCATTACGCCCATCATGTTGCCGGGGCCTGGCCGTGCAATTGCATTGTGGAGCAGACCTTGGCAGATCAACCACACGGTTGAGTCTTTGATTTGGCGTTGAATGCATACCATCTGACTTTGTACTTGATATGGGAATGTGTACACATTGGGACCCCCAAAATGGATTCGGCCTTCCTTTCGTCTTCTCTTTAAACCAAGAAAAGGCTGCCCTCAAAAAACAGTGACGCATATTTGTATCAGGCAAGTGCTAGTGAAGATTGCCCGGTGCTGCCAGAAAAGGCTGGCTGGCCTTTCGTTTGCCTCTGTTTCGGATGATAAGAACTGGGTTGATTCAAGTAACCTCTGGATTGATATGCTAGTTCCAACTTTAGCCGGGACCGGGATCCTACCCATATCAATAATTGGGGGGGGTGGGCAGCCTCACCGCCTGTCAACAACAAACTTGTTGATCGGGCACTCCAACCAAGAAACGCCTGCAAAGCCACAACTGCACCTGGAGGGTGAGTGCCGACCACCAAGTATAATTCCCAATTGAAAGTCCATGCCAGTGGGTGGCAAATAATCAGTCCCATCATTCACTGCAATTTACAAAATTGCCGGGAGTGCAACCGGAGTTGAACCATCCTTACTAGCAAGCAGTGCCTCAATCATGTTGGCTCCCCTTCAATATTGGGCAAAGCATGCCGAGATAAGTGCGAATTTCGCGAGGTAAAATTATAGGCATGACATGAGTCGGATCATGTTGTGGTGTGATTGAGGGGCGAATCTTTCGCCACCATTGTCAATCGGAATTCGTGCAAATGGGCTCGTTTCCAAGTCTTGGACATGCACATGCTCAAAAGTCCAAAGCTATGAAAAGAGCTCAGAAGTATACTTACTTGAAGCAAGCAGATATGCCTTCCGCAACAAAACCTTTTATTCATCACACATCTACACACACAAAAAACATACTACGTACTGCAGAGTCGCAAATCTCACGCTATGCTGACAGCACATGGACATATGCCCGCCTGTGAATACGGCAGGTACGGCCTGTGCTGGGATGGTATATGGAATGATCATTGGCCTCGGCAAGACGTCGAATCACCCGGCGCGCGCAAGGTGGGGTCATAGCTTTTGCCACTGGGAAGAAACATGCTCAACTGCCCAGTGGATTTCCGTGGGGAAAAAAAGGATCGGCACCCAATTTTTTGTTGTTGGTTGAGTTTTAAGGGCAAGCCTTCCCGAACAAAAGGAACAAAGGCACTACTGGGCAGCAAAGCATATGTATTGTTCACTATTACATACTATTATACATCTAGTGTAATTTCTGCATGTACACGTAAACGTGTGTCAATGTACATACAATGCCTGCATGAACATACAATGCCGCCAAACAGCAGGCCGGAATATGACGCTCTTCCCAGGGTCTACAAGGCACTGCCAGGTTCATAGGACAAATTGGGTTTTCCGCCAAAGTCCCATGCCCAAATTGTGGAAGTCTGATGAGGGTTGAACTGGGGTCGACTGCATTCACCCTCTACCTGCGCTTTGGACCACACATCAATGGACCCTCCACCAGGTTCCAAGGCAAATGGCATTCTGACCGGACAGAACTTGACACGCCTTCGTGACCGTGGCGTCACCAAAACATAAAAAGGGAACGCCCCAAGTAGAAAGCAAACGGTTGCTAGCTCGCAAAGTAAGGAGTGAAACACATTGCACAGTGGTCCATCCATAGTACCAGGCATTCCGCACCATCGTCAATCTACTGCATTGGTCTTGCCAACAATTCAAGGAACTACACAGAAAAAATGTGACCAAGGAAATGATGGTTCAAAACCCACTTGGCGTTGGCCATGTCCCTGGTTGTTTATCCTCACAAGCACGGGCCTCTCATCTCATCGAATGAGGAAACATGCTGGCTGAATTATCAATTTTGTTGATACAGGTGCTGCAAACCAAAGGACCGGATGAGACCAACCGATGTCGATTTCGGATATATTGCTTCGATCAACATCCGGTGGAGAGAGTGGGCATTCGCGAACCTTCCCAGGTGATTCCGGAACAGGGTTCAATTCCTACCAACCCAAACCACCAATTCCCGTCCCCGCGAGAGGGGGAATCCCATAGCAACCCCAACCGCAAAGTACCCATCCACTAATGTTGACCCTGCATTGATAAACCTTAGTTTGTCAATAGGGGGGTGTCCCTAGGTTTGGGGATTCATCACTTTTGGAGGGGAACACCCCCATATTAACTAGGTCCTCCAGTAGAATCAGGGTACCAACCTTTCTCTCTAGTCTATTTTTAGTAGACGAAAGCCCTCTCCCAAAAAAGGGAGTAGAGAGATGGCACCTAGCTGGGGGGCCTAGAAACCTTTCAAGAAAACTGGCTGCTTGCTCACATGTGGATCGCTGTTACCCAGCAGGCGGCATCCTATGTGGCCACTGGGAGGCCCGGGCATGGGAGTCGCTGCAACCGCAGCCATAGGCAGGGCCGTCGCAACCTCCGCAGGAAACGAACCCCCGCTTTGCCTTTTGGGGGGTCAAATGGCGCAATCACCCAAAAATACCAGCAGGTTTACACCGTATAATAATAATAATAATAACAATAAAACGGCATCAACCCCTGGTTTTTGGCCGCTGACAACCCTTACACAAGAATATGAAGGGCACGGGAGGTCTTGGTTTTTCTGTTTAATGGTTGAAGTTATTTGGGCGTGTCTTTGTTGGGAACCTTTTGGCTGGATTCAAAAGGAAACCAAAGTGAACCAAAGGGAAGGGGAACCCATGGGAACCAAAAATAAACCCACAGCTTGAACCCCCAAACGGTCTACATGGAGTCTCCATGACCCTTTAAAAATGGTTGGTCATTGCCCAAAATAATGGGGTCATGGACCAATTTTTGAAAGGGTCATGGAGGCTCCAGACATGGGAGAGAAGGGCATGCTGTCCTTTGCTTATGCTAAACCGAGGCCTTTTTTGAGCGCCCGGGCTGTGCTGATCGGAGCCGCGCTCCAAAATTCCGGGCTCGAAAGCACCTGGCCAGTTGCAAGAGCGGTGGAAACCTTCAATGCAACTGGGGCAGAATCATGTTGACCCCCTATTAATCCACCCCAGTTTGTTACTGGGGGGGTGTTCCCCTCCAAAAGTGAACAATCCCCACTAAAGCCAGGGACACCCCCATATTAATAAACAGGGGTTTATTGATAGGGGGTGTTCATTAGGAACCTAACGTTGTCTGTGCCATGGTTGTGACTAAACTTCGTTTCATGGTCATTCGAATTATCTAGGCCCCTATCATTATGCGTGTCCGTTGGTTAGTGCGTGTGTGTGTGTGTGTGTACAAGCGTCGTTGTCGGTGGGTAACATGGCCATGTGCGCGTCTCAAGCAAGTCGAACCAAAGTCAGAGACCAACTGGCTTGATCTCCAGCGAAAACTGAGAACATCATACGCCGGAAAGCAACATAAAAAATGCCGTTGAAACGTTCATAAGATCTCCTGGGCTATGTACCGGATCACGTAGAACAAGTGATCCGAGTGGAAGATCCCAAGGATTTCATGCAGGCACACGCCCGTGCCACTCCTGCGGGTTGCTTGAGGGGAATAGGTGTCAATAGGAATCTCCAAGCAGGCGCCACATAGGAATCCTCATCTGCGACCCCAAACCAAGGGCTATGTGGAAGCCAACTGCTAGGTGCACGCGACATAGACTGCGCCCCGGAACTTAGGCTTGAACTCTAAATATCACCGGCTCTGCAAGAAACACAGTATCTTACCGGCTTGCACTCCAATTTCCTAGGTAGGGAAAAATACAAAGTCAGCATTTCGCCTAGGCGAAACACAAATTTACAACACAAGGCGAACCCCCCTGCCAAACTACTTGTTCGTTCACGACTTTCAAGTGACCCCATTTAACTGTTTCGAGTATCATGTGTTCCACCCTAGAGTTTTCAACAAACACGTCGATGCCCAGCCCATCAAAGCTCTCCCCAGCTGCATTTGCGCTCCCCCCCGAGCCTGGTGACCAGCACACGAACAGTCCCACAAATCGTGGTTAAGTGAGCGAGAAGAATCAAGTGTGGTTCTCACTGGGGCAGTTTGCCTGCACGCTCATAGCGCCCTAGGTGCCCGTTGGAAAATCGAAAGGCTGTGCTTGTGAGTGCCCAACTGGTGTGTGAACGGGATGTTTACTTAGTAAACATCCCGTTCACACAATCAAAATGTCTCAGAAGCTCACCAAAGGAGGCTCAGCCGGCAATGTGCTCAAGCCTATCAAACTATCTAGATACCACGGGCCCATCAAAAAACAAGCGCGGAACGGGGTGCTGTGCGAAAACCGGGCGGGAGCTAAGGAAAACCCTGGGATTTTCAAACGGGTCAGTTGGTTTGTAGCTATTTGCACAACCCACTAAGGATGAATATCAAAGTAAATGGGGCTTGCGTGTTCTTTTGGATTTGGAGTTTGGTCCAGTCGGGACCTGAGGGAATCTCTGAACCACTCAGAAGGATTTTGATCGGCCAGCCTCAACGTGTTCCAATCACCAGGCCGATGCCACCCCCCCTTTTGTGCTCCCATGTGCTAAACAACTACCCATGATATTGTGAGTTTTTCATGCTCGTGTTCTTGCCCTGGCGCGACCAGCCCCGGGGCCTTCATATGCGAAGCAGTTGAGGGTGAACCGTTCGCCTGGGATGCCCCCTTGCCAGGACGCAAACCTCACCCTGCAAACTGGCTCGTCATATATGTCATACGTACTACGCGGGCATCATAGGTCCAAAGGCTAAGGGTGAGCCATCTCAATGTTGACCTTCTTGATGGTCGAACATGCGCTAAGCATACCTCCAATAGCTGGAATGAAGGAGTGGGCTGCATGGATGCAAACATCCGGAAAGTCGCCACCGCACACAGGGGTCTGTCATTTTTGAGGGTACCCCGTTTTTGGTGGTTTCAAAAGACAAAAAGGAAAACCACCATTTTGGGGAGTTCCCCACAAAAAGGACACACCCATAGGGAAGGATGCCATGGCTTTAACAAAGAGCAGACTTGTACTAGCGATGCACACACCTTGCCGAATGGAAGTAACGAAGCATGTACAATCGATCCCATGCCAAAAGAAGCGGATGATCCTAAGAACAAACTCGAAACAAAGACAACACCCCCAACACTGCTGGCGGCTAGCATAGCACCCAGGAATGGTGGAACATATTGAAGCAAGCTGCAAGCCTGTCCATTTCCTTCCAAAGTCATTGGTGCCAGACTCACTTTCACAACTCGTGCATCTTCAAATGTGCAGAAGGAGCCCAGCTCAAGATCAATAGCAGTTGAGTACTTTGCTATGTCCTGAGCAAAGACTATTGAACAATTTGGAGAGGGAAAGGATGCCCCGGACATCAGCCCTTGCGCGTACCTGTGCATGTATGTACACGTGCATATTCATCAGCAAGACATGCGCATTCACAAGTCGTGTGTGTACTCATACATCTGCCTCATGAGTTGTCTGTTCGCCTTAACCTTTTGCAGGAGTATTATGCTGCAGGTGTATTCTGCTGCTGGAGCAGGGCAAAGGGTTCTACATTACAGCAGTCGGGCATGGGTTGGTCCTTGTTTCCATTTACCAGGTACATTCTGGGTACCTATTTTGACCCACACGCAGGTGTGTGTGTGTGTGTGTGTCTCTGTGTCTCTGTGTGTCTCTGTGTGTCTCTGTGTGTCTCTGTGTGTCTCTGTGTGTCTCTGTGTGTCTCTGTGTGTCTCTGTGTGTCTGTGTGTCTCTGTGTGTCTCTGTGTGTCTCTGTGTGTCTCTGTGTGTCTCTGTGTGTCTCTGTGTGTCTCTGTGTGTCTCTGTGTGTCTCTGTGTGTCTCTCTGTGTGTCTCTCTGTGTGTCTCTCTGTGTGTCTCTCTGTGTGTCTCTCTGTGTGTCTCCCTGTGTGTCTCTCTGTGTGTCTCTCTGTGTGTCTCTTTGTGTGTCTCTCTGTGTGTCTCTTTGTGTGTCTCTCTGTGTGTCTCTCTGTGTGTCTCTTTGTGTGTCTCTTTGTGTGTCTCTTTGTGTGTCTCTTTGTGTGTCTCTTTGTGTGTCTCTTTGTGTGTCTCTTTGTGTGTCTCTTTGTGTGTCTCTTTGTGTGTCTCTTTGTGTGTCTCTTTGTGTGTCTCTTTGTGTGTCTCTTTGTGTGTCTCTTTGTGTGTCTCTGTGTGTGTCTTTGTGTGTGTCTTTGTGTGTGTCTTTGTGTGTGTCTTTTGTGTGTCTTTGTGTGTGTGTCTTTGTGTGTGTCTGTGTGTCTTTGTGTGTCTTTGTGTGTCTGTGTGTGTCTTTGTGTGTGTCTTTGTGTGTCTGTTGTGTGTGTCTTTGTGTGTGTCTTTGTGTGTGTGTGTGTCTGTGTGTGTGTGTCTTTGTGTGTGTCTGTGTGTGTGTGTCTCTTTGTGTGTCTCTTTGTGTGTCTCTTTGTGTGTCTTTGTGTGTCTCTGTGTGTCTTTGTGTGTCTTTGTGTGTCTTGTGTGTGTGTGTCTTTGTGTGTCTTGTGTGTGTGTCTGTGTGTGTCTGTGTGTGTGTCTTTGTGTGTCTCTTTGTGTGTCTCTTTGTCTCTCTTTGTGTGTCTCTGTGTGTGTCTTTGTGTGTCTCTTTGTGTGTCTCTTTGTGTCTTTGTGTGTGTCTGTGTGTGTCTTTGTGTCTCTTGTGTGTCTCTGTGTGTGTCTCTGTGTGTGTGTCTTGTGTGTGTCTGTGTGTGTGTGTGTGTGTCTTTGTGTGTCTGTTGTGTGTCTCTGTGTGTCTGTGTGTCTGTGTCTGTGTCTGTGTGTCTGTGTCTGTGTGTGTCTGTGTCTGTGTCTGTGTCTGTGTCTGTGTCTGTGTCTGTGTCTGCGTCTGCGTCTGCGTCTGCGTCTGCGTCTGTCTGTGTCTGTGTCTGTGTCTGCGTCTGCGTCTGCTCTGTCTGCTGTCTGCGTCTGCGTCTCGCGTCTGCGTCTGCGTCTGCGTCTGCGTCTGCGTCTGCGTCTGCGTCTGCGTCTGCGTCTGTGTCTGTGTCTGTGTCTGTGTCTGTGTCTGTGTCTGTGTCTGTGTCTGTGTCTGTGTCTGTGTGTGTCTGTCTGTGTCTGTGTCTGTGTCTGTGTGTGTGTTGAATCATGTCATTTTGTTCCCGAGTCAGTTTGGTTCTGGACCAAGCACCGATCGCGAGGTTGCGAGGCGGATCACTGATCTAGGATCCACCCCGCAGAGTCGGGACCCGTTTTTGTCCGGCGCAAACGCCAGGTCACAGGGGGGAAGACCTCCTCGGATGCTTCCCCGGCAACCCCATAGCGCACGCCAGGTACCCGGTACCGCTGCCCCACATAAAACCTCGCCTTCCCTTCGAAAGGACTTCCGGGACCTGGCACAGTACATGTATAGTGCATATATATATATATATACACATATATATATATATATACATAATATATATATATATACATAATATATATATATATGCAAAATTCTGGAACGCCCCCGGAATGCCCACGTTTTTGTTTTCCACTTTTCGCTTCTAAAAATAAATGTGTGATGCGTTTTTCAGCTTCTCACAATCATGCTCTAAGACTGCACTCCTTTTTCCGACCCAAATTCTATCATCAGCACTTAATGCAATCCAGGATGTGCTATAGCACGTGCTAGCACATATTAGCAAGTCCTAAGTATGGATCTGAAGATTTTCAGAAAATGTGGTCAGAGAATCTCCAATCTTCAACCTTCAACCCAGGATGTGCTAGCACGTACTAGCATATCCTGGATTGCCCGAAGTATGGTTTTGAAGAATTCAAAGAGGCAAACAAGGAGCGCACGTTCCAAGAATCCGACTGTGGATAAGCAACGCCTGCATTTTGGTCGGGTGAGAAACCTCCTTTTTGGGGCGCATGAGGGCTGGCCGCCAGGATGGAAGATTCTCAAAACACAACATCTGGGAGATCTCCAATGTTCAATGCAGATGGGACAACCTTAATGTGTAAAATCAATAAAGTGCTTCTGACAAATGCTCCAGGTATGAACTGTGAAGCTTTTGGCGGGCCAGAATTGAGAATGTTCTCAAATGATTTTTATGTTGAATCTTGAGTTTTTGACCTTCGATCCAGGGCAACAGGATCTGGGCAAAACTGAAAAATGCCGCGCTTTGCGGCACTGAATAAGAATAAGATCTGCGATTGAAAAACACGTTTCTGCTCTTGGCTTGGCTCGGCTCTTGCTTGGATAAAACCACATGGCGTTAGATAAGGACAAGGACAATAACCCAATTGAAATTGAGCTTGATTCCAGTTTCAACTGCTGCGGTCTCCGATTGTTATTGAAATTCAGAAGAAACTGCAGCCGGTCAAAGTTGAATCTGGATTGAACTCGAATGCATTTTAAATTGGAGATTCTTACAAGATTTGACCTTCAATAGTTCTTAGTGACAATGGTTGAGCAACGCACAACTGAGATAGTTGTGTTGCAATTTCGAGTCAATCAAACTTAACAAGAATGTAAATATGCAGTTACGCACATAAGATTGAAGTAACATGTACATGCAGCTGCGCAAGGACATGAAATGGATGTGAGTTGCAAGTTCTTTTCCCTCAAGTTGATGATGTGCGAAACAAAGGTAATAAAACCACTGATAGAGCTGTGACAGGCACGTTGAAGCTGCCAACGCGCACTTCGCGGACTACTCTCGTGCTGACAAGTTGTGCTTTTTGAGTTGGAGCTTCCAAAGTGCACTTCGCATACTCCAATGTGACTTTAAGTGCACTTCGAGCTGTTTAAACAGGAACTCCTGTTCAACGTTGGGCTTAACTTCTGCTTGGCTGGAATTGCTAGGAGTTGCCCATCCTGTCAATTCAGTTCAGAGTCTCAAAGCATTTGTCACCCTCAGTCCGGCCGAAATCCTGAGTTCTGGGCAAAAACCTGAGTATTTCAAGGGAGGTAGCATATATATATAAATATGTACAAATATGTATATATATATATATGACATGTATATATATATATATTATATATATATTGGTGCGTCCTAAGATGCACACTAGCTCAAAACCGGTGGATCCGCTCGCGGACGCGTCCCAATCGAGAGCCCTGCTTCCTCTGTAGCGGTGGTGCTGCACGATCCCTCCTGGCAAATGTCTCTGGCACCACTTGTGCATGTGGGCGTTGATCAATACTGTGGATAGACAAAATCCGTTCGCACCACTTTGACACCAATGGAAACCATTGTTTGTTGGTATTTACAGGGGAATCATCATTCCAGGGTTTCTTAGGTGGTGCAGGATTTTGTCCATCTACAGTATGTCTGGCCCCCAAATCAAATGGACCATGAGTAACTTTTCCCAATTTGGTGAGAAAGTCATCTCTGTTTGTGGCTTTACCTATTGGTCATCCCATGTAGGCAGCTTCCATCGTGAGTGGTGAGCTTCCAATATCTGTTCAGCCTGGCCGGTTGCTGCCAACACTGTCCACGAGCTGTTGCACTTCATATTCGTATACATATAGTTGTGTCTACAGTTCAATGCATATATCTCATATATATATATATGTATATGAGCCAGCGTCTATATTTGCTGTGTGGGGTGTATTCATTCTACTTTTAGTGAGTCCCCTATCGTTCTCCACGTTTCGCGTGTTCGTGCTGTGCCCGATGAACCCTCTGCAGGGATCGCGCGCCTCGAAGCGCTCCCACTGTGGCGCCGTGCGAATTTGTAAACCGCCCGATGAACCCTCTGCGAGGATTGCGCGTGCCACAGCGCCCTCGCTGTGACGCCGTGCGAATTTTAAAACTGCCCGATGAACCCTCTGCAGGGATCCTGCGCGCCCAAGCGCTCTCGCTGTGGCGCCGTGCAAATTCGTAAAGTGCCCAATGAACCCTCTGCGAGGATTGCGCGTGTCAAAGCGCCCTCGCTGCGACGCCGTGCGAATTTGGAAAGTGCCCGGTGAACCCTCTGCAGTGATCCTGCGCGCCCAAGCGCTCTCGCTGTGGCGCCGTGCAAATTCGTAAAGCGCCCCCAATGAACCCTCTGCGAGGATTGCGCGTGTCAAAGCGCCCTCGCTGCGACTCCGTGCGAATTTGGAAAGTGCCCGGTGAACCCTCTTCGCGGTGACCACGCGTGCCCAAGCGCTCTCGCTATAGCGCCGCGCGAACTCGAAAAGCACCCGACAAACTTTCTACGCAAACACAGCACTGGAACCACACGCGTAGTCTTTTGTAAGCAAATGCACTAGGCCTCACATTTGCAACTCGGGCCAATGCTCGGGGTATCGACGGGGTATCGACCGGGGTATCGTTCTGGGCGTGTGTCGCGTGACGAAAATTTTCACAATTTTCCATAAGCTGTTAGAGCCAAGCAAACACACAATAGCCTTCTCTGCCTTGCGGTAATCATATATCAGTCTTGGCGGCTTGCTTGCTGGCAGCAACCTCAAGGTCGCAAGTCGCAACTTTCACCACAAGCGCAGTGCACAAGTTACACTTCGGCAGCTCCAGCTCGAAGGTCGCAGCTTGCGGCGGTCACGTGTCAGTCTAAGCGGCTTTTGCTTGCTGGCAGCAACCTCCAGGTCGCAAGTCGCAGCTTTCAGCACAGGCACGTTACACAAGTTAGACTTCGGCAGCTCCAGCTCGAAGGTCCAGCACAAACCATGTTCAGGGGTATCGTTTTTTGTGAGTCCCCTATCGTTCTCCAAGGAAAATGCAAAAAACCAGTATTGAATGAAACGCCGTTGATAAAGTGGTCTTTGATAATTCTGAGGTTGACTCATATATATATATATATACATGCATATATGGATCCCTGAAGCCCACCAGAGTGAGCGGATCAAAGCAACAAAACCACGCGTGCGGACATGCGCGCACATGCGCGGTTGCCGTGCGCTGTATCGCCACTCTGCATATAGCTCCGGCAAAGCAAGTCCAAGCCGCAACTCATGCGCTGCAAAGCTTGAACATCTGCGAATAATAGGAGTTCGGAGACATCATGCGGCTCTGTAATGTTGAGCGCATGCCTCGAAAGCTCCACTGGGAAAGGACTCTTGCGCAAATGAAGACCGAAAGCTCCAAAACGGGAAGAGCAGCATATGGGCGTGTCTCAAACAGGGGGCCCTTTCCTCGAGTGGGTTGTAAAGGGAAACTAGAGGAAACCGGCCATTTTGGAGTTTGGGTTTGAGACACACCAATATTGAAAACGGCAAGCTGGACAACCTGCAGCATCAAGCAAACACAACCTGCAAATGTTTCCTCTGTTCGTGTTAAATCAAGAGCAACTGACATGGCTGACCCATGAAAAGACTGCAAGCCTCAAAACGCTTGCAAAAATCGCACTACCAGGGTCTCCTTTTCTTTCCGACACGCCGCAAAAACGGGTCGGCTAGTCCTCCTGGGAGTCCGTAGTGAACTGACCCCTGCCAGATCCCGGCTTGGGGCGACGTGAAGCACGAAGCAGGGTCTTGGGATCTGAGGAAGCCATGCCCCGCCGAGAAGTGACAAAACCAAACGCGTGTTGATCTCATCAAGCTTGTGCGAAATGAATAATCTCTTGACAAGACCAAACACGTGTTGATCTTAAATGAAGCTCGTGCGTTGCTTGCGCGGCACCAAATCAAGAACACACTACAACAAATCAAGGTTGCGGACGTGAGATTTCGAACTCAACGAGGCCCCGAAAGCCTGCGGCTTTGATTTGTTGATTCCAAGAGAAGAGTCTCGTTGCAAACTCAAGAAGCCTTTGCCATCTATGCTCGACGAGTCGGCGCTCTGAGTTGCAGGGCTAAACAGGTGCCCTTGCTCCTTTTGCGAGTCGTTCAGATGTACCAAGTCCTTTTACAGCTCGTGTTGTAACTACAAATGATGTAAATCCAATTCGCAGGCGAAGAGTTGATTTGATTCAAAAGCGACGCCGTGGAATTCACGCCAACTCCGGAAAAAGTGGCGCTTGAGAACGCCTCCGTTTGGCCCATCCAATGCAGGTCTGGCCTTTCGTCCGGCTCCAGCGGGTCCCACGTGGTGCTTCGGCAAAGGACCGACTGCGATCGGAGCGTCGGGGGTCATGTCGCTTTAGGTTTGGTGACTCTCCCATCCGTTGTTTGAACATTTTCCAGTTGGGTGTGCCTTTTGTTGTCTTTCTTGAAGGCACACCAAAGGAAACCAGCAAACTGGCTTTGTCAGAATAGTCCTTTTTGACATGGTGAGTACGAACTAGCTGGGGGCTGATGTTCACAATTTACCCACTCAGGGTCCGTGACCCCTCCCTTCCACTTTAGACAGCTAGGGTTGTCATTTTGTTTAGCCAACCCAAACTACCAGGGTGTGACCTTTTCTGGTTGGATTTAGGAAAATTGAGGGAAGCCAGACAAATTTGGCTACCCTGTTTTGAGACAACCCACCAATCAAGAACCATGCCGGTTGCTTTCAGATCAGTACCAACTTATTTCAGCCCACAATTCAAACTCAGCTGCTCTTGAACGTGGCTGCTGTCTCTTCCGCTGTCCGCACGACCCCAGGTCACAACAGCCCCAGATTCAAGAATGGCCGCAAACGCCCCGCTAGTTGCTTGGATGTGCTGGACGTTCCTCAGCTGCTCTTGCACCTCCCTGCAGTCTCCCCCGCATTCTGGATCACCCCAGGTCACAACACCCCCAGAAGCAAGAATGGCGGCAAAAGCACTGTCTGTTGCTTGGATGTGCTGGACGTTCCTCAGCTGATCCTGCACCTGGCTGCTGTCTCTTCCGCAGTCCGCACGACCCCAGGTCACAACAGCCCCAGATTCAAGAATGGCAGCAAAAGCCCTGCAAGTTGCTTGGATGCGCTGGACGTTCCTCAGCTGCTCTTGCACCGCCCTGCAGTCTCCCGCGCACCCCAGGTCACAACACCCCCAGAAGCAAGAATGGCAGCAAAAGCGCGGTTGGTTGCTTGGATGTGCTGGACGTTCCTCAGCTGCTCTCGCACTTGGCTGCTGTCTCCACCATTCTCTGGATGACCCCAGGTCACAACAGTCCCAGATTCAAGAATGGCAGCAAACGCACCATTCGCAGTTGCTTGGATGCGCTGGACGTTCCTCAGCTGCTCTTGCACGTGACTGCTGTCTCCGCCCCAGGCTGGATAACCCCAGGTCACAACAGCCCCAGCAGCAAAAGCAAGCTGAGTTGCTTGGATGTGATGCACTTTCCTCAGCTGCTCTTGCACCTCCCTGTGGTCTCCACCACATTCTGGATCACCCCACGTCACAACAGCCCCAGAAGCAAGAATGGCAGCAAAAGCACCCGCAGCGGCTTGGATGCTCTGAACGTTCATGAACTGCTCTTGGACCTGGCTGCTGTCTGCGCCGCATTCTGGATCACCCCACGTCACAACAGCACCAGAATCAAGAATGGCAGCAAAAGCACCTGCAGCTGCTTGGATGCCCTGAACGTTCCTCAGCTGCTCTTGGACCCGGCTGCTGTCCCCACCGTATTCTGGATCACCCCAGGTCACAACCTCGCCCTCGCAGCCATGCCAAGCGACTGCCTTGCAGTTGGCAGCCAGTTTGCCAGGCTGCACAACCGCAGCCAGCACGTCCCCATCTTGCAATCCAGCCTCACTCAAAGTGGGCGCCGGATCCAGTCGCTGGCCCCTCGCAGTGAGCCTCACCCGCTGGAAATGCTGCTGCGCAGCCGTCAGCTAGCTGATGGGCGCCGGTGAGACTTCTATGGAGCAACCATCTCCACTTGGCAAGTCTACGGATCCGGATGCATTATACACCTGAACATTGCCTTGTAAATGGTGGGTTCCCTTTATGTTGGTGGAAAAAGCCATGTTTCAAATGGGCAAAATGTATCTTTAAGGAGCCCTGTTGGACCGCAGGTTTTAGTCCATGTTTCCTTCTACCAGGGTTCCAATTTGGGTACCTATTTTTGACCCACAGCCATATTCAACTTGCCCAAACACGAACCGGCAACAAACGTGTAACCTGGGAGGGGGACTTGTTGAACAGCTCCTTACTGCAATTCCAAACCATTTGCAAAATGTCCAATCATAGATGCCCTTTTGAAAAATAGATGCGTTCAATGGAATAAACCCCATCTAAACCAGGGCCCTCTATTTTTTAAGCAAACCAACCACAAAGGACACCTATGGTTCCAATTTCTTGGAATGCTTTTCACACGTTTGCGTCACAAGCTGAAGCCAACCAGCTGGTTCATTTGCCGCTGCGGGTTGCCTGCTCCAAGTTCTTGGACCCAAGGCAAGCAGTTCAGTTCAGCCGGCGGTTCGGAGCCTTGAGTCGAAATCCGAATGGATCCAATTTTGGCATTCCAAACCAAGTTTCACTCCCATGTAGCCAGCTTGATAGAGTCTAGGTTGTCATTTCCATGGGGCTGGTAGGAAGTTAGTGGACACCCTCATAGATGCAAATCGTTTGAGCATTGCCACCCTCAACAAGAAACATTCTGTTTCCAACTGGCAACACGGCTGATGACTATTTGGCATCATCTGGACGTGGTTTGACTCGACCGCGAATTTGTATGGTCATAAAAACAGCGTTCTTATCACTTGGCATGTATGCAGTGAGCGGGTGCACTTGAGAGAACGTGCTAAGCACTAAAAAAATCGGGTCCAGCAAAGCACCCGCCAGCTGAAACATGCGGGGCCCGCGCGCTTTTTCGAGGCTACCCTCTTCAGGCTGTAGTTCAAAAGGAAGCTGACGGGAAAATCGGACAAGCTCTCCTTTCTAGATGTTTTTTGACACCTGTCGCATACTCAAGCCTGAAGCAGGACAAAGGGTGGACTGATCTTAACCGCACCCCAAATGGGGCTTCCCACGGTCCAATGGGGTGCCAGATGGCTTGCAGATATCATTTTAGCAAGACCTGCCGCGTAAGAAAGGGCACGAACGAGTGTGAAAAACTGCAAGCCCAGCGAGCCCCGCTGAACGAGTTTTCAATTGCTTGGGCTTGTGCCAGTGTTTCCGTCACTTCGCCCCTCTTTGCAGCCTGCCCTTCAAGCTAGCGGGTATCGACCAGGGGGACCCCGTGCATCACGACCTACAGCTTATTTTGAGAGTGACACTTTCATGGACTCGTGGAGGGTAATTACCATAGGTCTCCTTTTAGGGGAAATAGATGGGTCTGGTAGATGATTAAACAAACCACCAGGTAGACCAGGAATCGCCATATAGATTGTTTCTACCAGAACAACCAACAGGGACACCTACGGTAATTACCCCTTTGGGGTTTTAAAGGGAAGCCGTTTGGCAAAGGATACCACTCCACTTGGGTTGGGCTAGGGAAATCATGGCATCAGCCTTTCCGCATTGACACCATCTGCGGCCTTGTTTGGAAGGGGAAATACTTCCATTTGCTTAAGCCCCTTGGAAAAGAAATATATTTCCAATAGTGATAGATTCCATGCAATTGAAACCAGCAAAGGAAAATAAAACATGGTCTTAAGCAAATGGATGGAAGCCAAAGCCGCAATCCATTTTGCGGGTCCCCCAATTTTAACACACCCATATGCAGCAATTCAATCGTGCCTGAACAAGGGGAAGGCAACCTTGGTATTGACATCGGGCAGTGGTCAGCCCTCGGCACACGATGGCCTCCTCCTGCGAAGACAGCGCCTCCTCTTTAGTCGACGCAAGCCTCGTATGCGGAAAAAGGCGTCGTCGGCGAGGGGGGGTCAGGGTTTATCTGAGGTACCCTTGGGAATTGGGGTCCCTCCCCGAGGGTTTCTACTTCGCCCAACCCGCCGGAAGGGGAAACAAAGGGACACCTCACACCGTGTCACCCACCGCCTGAAATGAACCCCTGAAGGAACACCTTCAACCAGGTCTCTGATCGCCTCGTGTTCATGAACGTTTTTCTGGCAGTCGTCTTATTGCTCCACTGCTTGTACTTCATTCGTATCAAAAACTTCACATGAAGCTTCCTGTGGTGGGTGTCTCAGTCTGCCAAAATCAGACTTTTCCCAAACCGTGGCATCTGGAATCTGGCCCGGTTTGGTTTCAAACTGTTTCTTTGCGGTGCCGAGTAAGACCCGGGGCTTGAGTCTCTGAACCGCATTGGCATAGTCCCACATGGCTGTGCTCAACAAAGGCATTCAGTCAAGCGACGTGTCAAATCAGTGCACTTCAAGTGCTACATTAATGGGGCTTGAAGCGAAGCCGATCACAAAGGTTCAAAAACCCGCCGCATCTTGAATCATTGATAACTGGACTTGGATAAAATCAGACTCAACTGCTTTGGTCACTTGGTGCGCGCGCACGTGCACTCTCTACAAGCAGCCATGTTCATACAGCTGATTCGACTGACCAGGATCAACGCAATAGAGTCTTTTTCGGGGCAACATGGATAGAACCATCTACCTGGACCCTGAAACAAAAAAAGGGGGCATCTCACCCCCAGATGGTTGGGGCGAACACTTCTTACCACGGAACTTTGAGGCTTCAACTCTCAATCCTGCGGCACGAATCAAAGTCCAAGGAACTGCGATCACTCTCCGGCCGGGCACTTCACGACTATTCTGAGACTATCGTGCTGGCTTCGTACAAGTTCCGTTTGACTTACTAGCTGTCGCAACCCAAGAACCAAAATATTTTTCCTCATATCAACTTACTAGCTGTCTGACTCGTGTCGTTATGAGGAAAAACCAAATGCCGCAACTCCTCCGTCATTTATGTTTCTGAGGTCGTACTGCAAGCTCCCTGACCATGGCCCTGATATGCATCGGACAGCACCGTCGGGCATCTTTCGACTCAAAGGTCTCGAGTGTTATGGAGGCTCATGTGGGTCTGTGTAATTTTGAGGGTGCCAGTGCGCACCCTTGACCGAAACCAAGCCATCTCTGTGGTTGAGGGTGCCCACCTTTTGTGGTGTCAAAGGGAAACCAAGAGAACACCCACACTCTTGGGGGTGCCGTAAAAACAAGACTCCCATATTCACACTGCGTACAATGCTGGCAAGCCATCCCAAAAGGACAGCCAAACTACAATGGGTGAACTGTTTTCGGGCGTTCTTGCTGATGTTCCAATGATTCGTAGCTGGCATTGCATTGGCGCTTGCGGATATTTGGCCTTGAAATCGCATCAGTTCGCCGAAAGCTGGTCATTTGAACCGCCAGGCGACACACCAAACCAAGGTCACATTGCCGGTGTTCGGCAGGGAATGAGGGAATGAACCCAGGGATTCCCTTAAAGGAAACCACAAGTTGGAGGGTTTATACAAGAATCATTCCATTTCTCCTTCCCATCGCTCGCAAGTTACAACCCAAAGCGCAGGATGTCAAGGCCTCTCGTAAGGTACGTCAAGGTCCCGGCCGCTGGCATTCAAGCATGCGGATGGCGTGTGTCATCCGGCCTGGAGAGGCCAGCCATGCCGTCATAGGCGTCCTTTTAGGGCAAATAGATGGGTCGGTCTGGTAGATACCTAAACAAACCACCAGGTAAACCAGGGATCGCCATCTATTTGTCTACCAAACAACCAAAAAGGACACCTATGCATGACGTCGCTAAGATTAAGAAGCCATGTAATCAACAGTCATCAGCTCCCCTGGGATGTTTTGCGAAACATGCCCTGGCTTTTGCAATCCGAAACAGCCACACCGAAAACGGCTTCGACCCCGACCTTGCTTCGCTTCACAGCAGTTTCTGACTCCAGCAGTTTCTGGCGGGGCGCGTCCCTTCACAGTTCTCCGAATGCTGCGGGCGCGTGTGTGGAATGGGATAAGTTACCTGTAGTTCGCTTTACTCTCCTGATCAGAGAAAGTGGCTTCCAAACTGGCAACTTGACCCAGTCAACACCCAAATCGGATCAGTTTACTTGCACAACCCAGTGGATCCATTTACCTGTATATAGGCAACCAAGGGAACCACCCGATATGCAAACCAATAGGACATAGGATGACCTACTACATGGGTTTGCCTGGGATCCACTTGGGGATTAGTAGCGCAACTCCGCAATCTCCACTTGATACCTTTCGTAAAACCACCACATTGGTGATCGCACGTGCAGCACAGCCAAAGGGCCTTCATCCAAAATGTGTGAATGAGCGTAGACACAAATGCATCGATTGCTTGGTTATGAAGGTTCTATAGCGAAGATAGTAAAACCCTGTACCAGCCTGGTCAACAGCGGAGGTTCGGGCGCTAGCTAGGCTTTCAGCATCCACCGCGCCTTGAGTGAAGCAAGAGACTACGCCCTGGCCGCATCTCGTTGCGAGCAACGGCAGCAAAGGCCGCAGCTCGTTGCCTCAGGCATCGACCGCGGCCAGGACACGAAGTACCTCCTGATGGCCCTCCTCAGCTGCAACATGAAGAGGTGTGCGGCCCATAGCGTCGGCTGCTTCCCGGTCAGCACCCACCTTTAGCAAATGACCAACTATTGTGTGACGACCCAGCCCGGCGGCAATGTGTAGTGGGGTCTGACCTTCGTTGTCAGCCTTGTCAATTTCAGCCCTCGCTTCTATCAGGGCACAAAGAACTGAGATATGACCCCAGGTGGCAGCAAGAAGCAAAGGAGTCTGCCCTTCTGTATCAGCTTTGTTCAAGGAAGCACCAGCCTTCAGGAGGCATGGAACAACAGCATCATGACCCCATCTGGCCGCCAGAAGCAACGGGGTTTGGCTGTTCTCATCAGCCTTGTCCCTGTCTGCCCCCGCTTCCAGGAGGAAGCGCACGATCTGGCGATGGCCTTCTTCTGCAGCCAGCGACAAAGGCGTCTGACCTCGGCTGGACGTTGTGTCCTTGTCGGCGCCAGCTTCAAGCAGTTGACGCACAACTGCATTGTGACCCCACGTAGCAGCTACCAGCAATGGCGCCTGGCCCGGCCGGCCGTTCTTGTCAGCGCCTTCCGACAGCAAGCGGCCAACGAAGTCTGAACGACCCCACCTCGCCGCTGTGCTCAAAGGCGCCATTCCATGATTGTCAGCCTGGTTCACATCGGCGCGAGCTTCCAGCAAGCGAGAAAAACTGGTCTCCCGGCCCTCAGCAACTGAAATGATGAGGGGAGTCTGACCTTCATTGTCCGCCTTATTCATATCCGCGCCGGCGCTCAGCAAGCTTCGAAGAACGGGATCCGAATACCACCGAACAGCGGCACTCAGCGCTGTCCGGCCTGCCTTATCAGCCTTGTCAACATTAGCCAGAGCTTCCAGTAACCAATCAACAATCTCTTCACGGCCCGAACCGGCAGAAATCATGAGAGGTGTCGTGCCCTCATTGTCAGCTTCATCCAGTGCACAGCCAATCTGTATCAAACAATGCCTCAGTTGCCCACTGTAACCTGCATAAGAAAAGACTTGAACCCTTTAAGTGTTGACCATTGTTCGTAGGGACCCCGCCCAACGAAAGGGAAAAAGCCGTGAAATCAGTCCGCTGAACCGGGATGCAACACCAGAAC